GACGATCAGGAGTGATCATTTCGGATTGGTGCTTTTGGGAGTTTATTTTATTTATTTTCAGACTTATTTTTATCGTTATTTTGAGATTTATTATGTTATTTGGATTTACGGAGTTTGGAGATGATTCATGCAATTTAATAAATGGAGATTTCAAACATTTTTATTTATTTTACTACTTTGGAAAATGCGGGTGTTACAAAACTCTTAATTACCGAAACTGATTTTGATTGACCAAATGATCACAAAGTGTAAAGAGAGAAATGAAACATAGTGATCGCTAACGATAACAAAGATTGGACACTAGTTCTATTTGTTTACACATTATTAAATTTAGTTTCTACCAATCCAATAATATATAGAATTTCCCCAAAAACAAAAACATTTTTAAAACAGAGAGAGAAGAAGATGATTTATAATTACCAGACTGATCATGAGTGGACTAAGTAATCATAAGTGTGAAAAAGCCAAATGAAACTATACGATCTCTCACATATTGGACGCAAGTTCTACTCGTTTTCACATCATGAATTTACAAAGCATCTATCAATCCAGTAACATAGAATCTTCTTCCTCCTCCCAATTTAAAAAAAACTTTTTTGAGAAAATAAAAACTTTTTGTTAAAAACAGAGAAAGAAGAGGATTTTATTTATACCTTAAATGGAATCTGGATTCAGAGACGGTGGCGAGAATCTCACGGGGGCCGATGGTAGAAGTAGTGTTTTGTTTCGCCTCGGATGAGATGCAGAGGAGAGGAGAGACAATCAAAGCAAATCATGACTGTGACTGAGAGAGAGAGACACGTAGCAGCTTGCTTCATGGGTTTCTGCCTTCTCACCTGCAAAGCAAAACATCCAGAGAAAAAAAATTGAATTCAGTCTAAACCTTACGATTCATGAGGTTGGCAAAATCAAACTATTCTAACACACAAAACAGCTCTAATAGAATGTCTTTTTTTGTGATAAAAATCAATTGATGAATCTCTAATAATCGAGAGAGAGAGAGAGAATGAGAGAGAGAGAGAGAGAGAAGCATTGTACCTCTTGTCAGTGGAGGTTTCATCGTCATCAGCGAATCAGTTGGGTCTGAGTATGGTGTAGCTTCGTCGGCGGCAAATAGCTCCCGATTTGAGAATGGGACGAGAAGCAGCGTTGAAGTTTCTCTCCATAGATCAGAGAGAGTGGCTGTTTTTTTTAAGGGGGAGAAGAGGATGAGATCTGTAACGAGAGAGATCAGAGAGAGTGACTGTTTTTTTTTTTGAGGGGGAGAAGGGGATGAGATCTGTAACGAGAGAGATCGTCTAGGATGTGAATTTATAGACGAAAAGAAAAAACACAACAACGGCTAGTTTCTGTCCGAAAATAATAGAAAACACAACAACGGCTACTTCCTGTCCGAAAATTAAAAATAAAAATAAAAAAATAAAACAACGGCTAGTTTCGAAAATCAAGAAAAGTGAAAAGTGTTAAAAAAAAAAAAAAGAAAAAAGAAAAGTGAAAAGTAACGTTCTGACACTCCAACGTTCGGATTCTGGGATCTTAAGACGATGACTCACCCTTCGGCACCGCGTGGAATAGAAAAGACGCAGAAACAGTATCTCGCTCTGTTCAGTAGCCCACTCTGTCTCCGGCCCAAATAGTATCTCGCTCTGTTCTATAAGTGGGCTTATTTTTAAAACAATTTGGGCTGACGAATTCAAGCCTAAACCAAAATGATAACCGCTATTCACCTGGAGAGTTTGGCGCCAACTTATATATATGTCATGATTCTCATTCCCTCATCAATCATTTGAGTGACTATACTCTGGTTACGTGCAAAAAGGCTAAGGAATATTACAATCATGATTTTAAATATTTCTATCAAACAAGGAAAACGAGTGTAAATGATTCATACATTACATGACCAATGAGTTTTTAATACTTTTGAGCAGAAAAGATTTACAAGAGATATTTGTTTGTACATGTTAACCATATTCTTATGTGACTTTGTGGAGTGTTTCTCTACGACGGCTTGAGGTATCCATTTTAGTCTAAGTAGGACACAACAATCTCTACCATTTCAGAAATAGATGAAGATGAATTCTCGTCTCTGTTGTTTTGAATCACAATCCAAAGGTGGTTTCATAAGGATCGTCTATTCCTGTGAAACATGAAGAAAAAAAACATATAATTAGCATGGTTGGGTCATGAAGGTATGGCTAAAGATGATCAAACAAGTCGGGTTAAGTTAAAAGGAACAGATGCAGAGGAATAATTAATTACCTTTGATAGAGCTTCACAACATTGAGTGCACATCCATGAACATCTTTACAAGACGACATAAGGTTAAGTTTCAGGCACTACAACTGCGAAAACTAGCTGTAAGTTAAGTGGTTAATGCGATTGTTTTATTTTATTTTATTTTAGTAAATTAACATTGAAGAAAAATGAAGGAAGATATAGATATATTATCAAATTTTATTCAACATTCCCACCAAAAAAAAATCAAATTTTATTCAACATTATTAATTATCATATATTTTTAAATTCGTACTTTTTATGTAACAAAAAATATGTTTTTTTAATCTGTTATACGAGCATCAATGTTTTTTTGTGAAAATCATTAGGGTAACGACACATCAATATTGGTTCTTTAAAATATTATCAAATAATATTTATGAAATATGTTACATTTTAGATATAATTGTATTACTACTTATTGTGTTTAATAAATACAATTAATTATGTTTAAATTTGCAATTGATCATTATTTATTTAATTAAAAATAGATTGGACACGTTGAACAAAAGATATAAGCATCTAGATGTTAAGAAATCGTATATATGACTTAATATTGACAAAAATGAAACCAAATCTACTCTTATAGTAAAAGAGAAACGGTGGGGACATTCACTGAACCAACGAATGTCAAGACCATAAATGATTCAAGAGTTATCATCATTTAACTCAAAAGGATCCGATAAATTCTTCTCCTGTTATACTGTTTCTTGGTGTTAGTTTTTGAACTGGGATGATGGATGGTGTTAAAGATAACAATCGCCAAGTAGAAGAACATGATGATGGGTCCCGCCAAGATGTTTCCCCTGCTGTAATGGTAGAGTCTTGTCTCTCTTTTTTTAATGATTTTTGGGCCAAGTGAATTATATTCTTTTGTGTGTGTTGTAGAATGGAGTTCCTGAAAAGATTACGGAAGAGATATCACCAAGCCAACACGAAAGGTGGCGAGACCTCGTGTTAGATATACAGTTGAGAGCACAAGATGACGATTTCTTGAGAGCCAACGGATCCTTCACTCCTTTTCCTCCTAGTCATGTCTCCAGAAGGTTCAAGTTCTTCTCTCCCATGGCAAGTCCTAGAATCGGGAGGAGACGCGTTGGTTCCATGAGTCCTTCCTCTACTAATCTAAAGAATGTCTTTAACTTCAAGAACCGTAACAATAATGCAGATATCGAGGAAGGTGTGCAATTGGTGTTTGATGGCAGAGAGAAGTCTAATATCACAAGAACATGGTCTCTCACTAATCTCTTAACTACTAAAAAGTTCAAGAAGACAGAGTCTTTACCTGTTACCCCTTTAGCTCACTCAAATCCGGAGTCCATGCATGGAAGCTATGCCGTTAATGATCAAGTAAATTCCATAGTCAGTATCCTGTTCTTAAAGAACTTGGTTATACTATAAAGAATGAGAGATTTAAAACTTGTACATGTGTTTATTTTTGGTAGAAAAGAGAGCGTACACTGACTATTCGCCGTACACGTTCTCTCCCAACGCTCATCGGCAAAGATGGTACTGTGAAGCCTGTAGGAATTCTCCGTGTGATTCCTACTCCATCTCGTCTAGAGATGATGCATGCATCGAAAACGAGTAAACGTTCTTTGTGATGTAACATTTTTGATCATGTTTATAACAACCTTACCTTATGTATTTACTGATATGTGTTCAGATGGTGGAGAAGATGTTCCGGAAGAGGAAGCTGTGTGCAGAATCTGCATGGTTGAGTTAGGAGAAGATTCAGAAACTTTCAAGATGGAATGCATGTGCAAAGGGGAGCTAGCACTTGCCCACAAAGAGTGCACTATCAAATGGTTCAGAATTAAAGGGAACGTAACATGTGATGTGTGCAAACAAGAGGTGAAAAATCTCCCCGTGACACTTCTCCGTGTGGAGGATCCTCAGGACCGGTCTAGAGAAGCAGAGCATACAGAGGTTAACGGGTCGCAAGATATGCAGATTCTTATCGTAAACGTGGTTGCATACTTCCTTTTCCTTGTGCAGCTTCTGGACATGGAAATGAAATTGAGTGCCGTTGGAGTAGCTTTACCATCTTCTTTCATAATTGGTCTTCTTGCATCAGTGACATCGACAAAAATGGGTAATAATATTAAGAATTCTTGAAGCCTTTTTCCGAAATTATTATTGTAATTTATTAATCTGAAAGATGATTTTTGGTGCAGTGAAGAGTAAATATGTGTGGATTTTTGCAGCCATTCAGTTCAGTTTCGTTGTCCTTTCCGGTCATGTCCTTTACTCAATACTGAATGTAATGTTTCACTCAGATAGTTTTTTTTTTCTTTTTTAATGTAACCTTTGGTTCTCACAAATTCTCATTTAACTGGTATGCAGATTAAGCAGCCGTTTACATGCATTGTCTTAGCCATTCTGGTCGGATTTGGACTCACCATGTCCGGCCCAGCGGTTATTAACGTGTTTATGGAGTGGAGGAGAAGCCATGCTCATCACCAGCCATCAAGCACTCAGGTGGCTACAACAACACCGTCTTAGACAACAGAGTAAGGCCTGGTTGAAGCTACAGTCATTTATTTTTTATTGTTGCTTACATCACATGACAACATACATCATAATGAATAGTATTGATTAGCAATCTCACCTTTCTTGAATAACAATTCTTCACAGCTTTTGACAGATCATCACAATAACACTTTTTGAGTTTCATTCTTAATTTTCAATCCTCACCTACTCAAAACCTCCCTTGGAAGCAATCTCTTTCCTCTCTCTCTCTCTCACTCTCAGTTTAAACAAAACTTTTGTTTAACCTAAAAACAGTTCCAATCTCTCTTTGTTGGATTAATTGAAAGAATATGTTTTAGTTAACAAGTAATAATCTTTCACACTAGCAAAGAGAATCCTACCCTTCACCAAACTACACCTCTCTATATAACATACCAGAAAACCTCTCAACATACAGACAACGAAAACAACAATGGCTACTTCAAGAACATTCATGATCTCTAATACCTTCATCTTCTTCCTCGTTATGGCTTCAACCAATGGTCAAGCTCCATCTCCAGCACCTTCCGGTCCAACCAACATAACCGCAGTCCTAGAAAAGGCCGGTCAATTCACAATGTTCATAAGACTACTCAAGAGCACACAAGCAGCAGACCAAATCAACACTCAGATCAACTCTTCCTCGAGCCAAGGCCTAACCGTCTTTGCCCCTACCGACAACGCTTTTAACAGCCTCAAATCAGGAACCTTAAACTCATTGTCTGACCAGCAGAAGGTTCAGCTTGTTCAGTTTCATGTCCTTCCTACACTCTTGACCATGCCTCAGTTTCAAACAGTTAGTAACCCCTTACGCACGCAAGCTGGTGATGGACAAAACGGTAAGTTCCCTCTTAACATCACTAGCTCCGGTAACCAAGTCAACATCACCACCGGAGTTGTGAGCGCCACCGTGGCTAACTCTGTTTACAGCGATAAGCAGCTAGCCGTGTATCAAGTGGATCAAGTTTTGCTGCCGTTAGCCATGTTTGGTTCCAGCTCGGCTCCTGCTCCGGCTCCTGAGAAAGGTGGCTCGGTTACGACAGGTTCAGCTTCCGGCAGCGACGGTGGAGGAGATTCTACTGATTCATCTGATGGAGAGAGATTCAGATTCGGGTTAGTTGCCACCGTGGCAGCCATTGCTGCTGCTTCTCTATGGATGTAACTGGAGGGAGAGCTATAAATATATATATACGATTGAAAACTATACATTTTGTTGTAATTTGAGGTTGTGTTAAAAGATTGTGCTATCATATTATTGTTTTGATTTTAAATGAGATAACATGACGATTGAAACTGAACAAAACTTTCTTGATGAAGAGTGCAACATGTGTTTTGAGTATAATATGAAAAAAAGCTTAGTCTTAAGTTACATGATTGCTTCATGTCTAAGTTAGAAACCGAAACCGCCAAAACCACCACCACCACCGGGGAAACCACCCTCGAAATGGAAGGTGTAACCACCACCTCCACCGCCACCAAATGGATCAAATCCTCCATGATGGCCGCCACCTCCACCCATCTCTTCAAGATCCTCTCCTCTGTCAAATCTCGCCCGCTTATCGTCATCTCCAAGAACCTGATCAATTTACAAGTTAGATTAAACCCTGTGCATGCGTGGGTGTGAATGAGATGCAAAGGAGTGTTTTGAAACCTCATAAGCTGCAGCGATTTCTCGGAACTTGTTCTCAGCTTCTTCTCTATTGCCAACGTTTTTATCAGGATGCCATTGCAAAGCGAGCTTCTTATATGCTCTTTTGATTTCAGAGATAGAGGCTGTTTTGGAGATTCCAAGAATCTTGTACCAATCTTTTCGTTTGCTCATCTTCAGTGCCTTCTCTGCTCTACCAAGTGCTTCATGAATTTCCATGTCCTAATCACAGTTAGATATGTGTGTTGAGTCTAAAAGATCCAAGTTAGATCAACAGATAAGAATACGCAAACTAAGTTTTAACTAACCTGGGAACCTTGAGCGGCTTGTTTCAGATCCTCCACAGCTCCTTCCCAATCTTCAAGCAACAGTTTAGCTTCTCCCCTCTGAGGAAGTGGTTAGATCAGAAACATGATTGTTGGATATGAGTTAGTGATGATTTAATGATATGAACCTGATGTAATGCTTCAGTCAGTTCTGAATCTATGTTAAGTGCTTCGTTGCAGCTATCTAAGCCGTCTTTTCCACGCCCAAGCCTGACGGAGACTTTGCATAGTCCAAGATAGAGATGAACGTTATGTGCAGTGTGTTCAGGGTCTAGAGCTATAGCTGCTTTGTAGTCCTCTGTTGAAACTCTCAGCTTCCCTTTGCTTGCATTATCTTCTGCCTGCAATAGAGCACAACAATTGGCTTGTAAATCTCAGTGTTCTTTAGGAAGATAAAAAGGTTTTGCAGGACTCACGCTTTTTGTCTTCTTGAGCAGTTTTTTCAGTCCGAAGTATGCTTTCTTTAGTTCACTGTGTTCTGGATCAAGACGAAGCCCTTTTTGGTAATGCCTGAAACAGAGAGTTTATTTATCAGTTTTGGATCCAAACACTCTCTCTGATTGGAAATAAGTTTAAAGTTAGGGCTAAAACCTTTGGGCAACATCATGATCTGCTAAATAGTAGTAGGCACGGCCACGAAGGAGAAGAGCTTCGAGGTTATTTTCATCTTCTTTGAGAATATAACCAGTCTCTGAAATTGCAGCTGAGTAGTCTTTAGACACCATAAGGAGCTTCACTTTAAGAAGCTTTGCCTGAAGTTAAAAAAGAAAACAATGTTGACAATAAGGAACTGCAAGATCAAAGAGGTAATAAAATATATTGCAAATAGGATCACCTTAGAGCAAGCTGGGGAGAAGACAAGAACAACTTTATCAACAAACTCAAGAGCCTTCCCAATGTCCTTGGATTCATAAAGAGACGAAGCAGTCTCCAAAGCACTCTTAGCTTGATGAAGCTGAGAGAGCTCTTTCTCAGCATTGGAATCGCCTGGATGTAGTTCTAAATACTTATGGTAGCTATTCTCAGAGTCTTCGTATCTACATTGAAATAAAACAAACGTCAAATTCTGAGCCGCCTCTTTTCGACAAAACATTAATGCCAAACAAAGATAAAACCTTTAGCCATTTTTTTCTACTATATACCTGCAAAAATGACGAAGCACGGAAGCACGTTTGAAATAAGCTTCAGAAAGAGCAGGGTCTACTTCAATGGCAGCATTGAGATCATCAAGGGCATCGCTAAAACGCTTCACTTTGATGCTTTGTGATGCCCTCTCAAATAACTCAGCAGCATTCACAGATTCACCATCTGTTCAAAAAATAACCAATATGTAACGATAAAAACATCATCACTCAAAGTTCAACCTAATTTCTACAAACATGATCAATAGGTAATGTGGAGCAAGAAATGTTGTCTATTTTCACTACCAGTCCCCTATTTAAAAAACAGAGTCCGATACAATCACAAGCAATCCTCCACATAATGCCAGAAATTACGACAAGCCCAACACCAAAAGGAGAAAGCTTTCGATAAATATAGATGCAATACGCAATTTTAGTGCGAAATTTCTAAACGCTAAGATTCTCAAATCAACTAAACAGAAAAGTAACATCAATTATTACCAAATCCATAAAAATTTACCTAAGGCGGATACGAGGGGTTGAAGAAGAAGAAGCTGGCAAGCGAAGACGAAGTTGAGGAGAAGAAACGTGTACGCCATTCCTCTCCACGCTAACAAATCCATACCTGACCCCACTCGGAACAGATCCATCATCGATCGATCTCAATACATACAAGTGTCTCTATACGCGAACTTACAGCCCCACACACCGATTTGGAATGTTCTTGAATCAGAGAGGCGAACGAAGAAGAAGAATCTTTGATTCAAGCTCAGACGAATTCGTGTTTTCGGATGGATTTTGAAGCTTTCGATTTTGATTTGCAGTGTTAGCGCAGTGGTAAGAACACGTCCTTCTATCCAATTAGTTATCTCCACGTGGAATCTGTTTTAAGTAGGTCTTAGTTTCGTTGTGTCTACTAATGAGAAGCGTACACGTATGATAAGCTTTTTACACGCTGGCCTAACTCTGCCACGTAATATAACTGTATTCCTGGGCCTTTATTGGGATCTACAAGAGAGGTAAGAAGTTGAGGCCTTATGGGCAGACCATTATAACTTTCCGAATTAATGGGTTATATATCTGATTGGCCCTTAATGTTAAGGTCCATAAAAATAAATTGGTTTTTTCATTTTTTTTTGTTCATAACTATCTTGATTTGAAGGAAAAATAAAATGTTTTAGATGAAAATACACAGTAATTTTTCTAAATGTCATTATTTGAAAATAGATATGAAAATTTTAAATTACCTATTTTATTATTTTTAAAAAGAACATATACATAATACAACCCCCAAGATGGTGGTAGTGGTAGAGTGCTCTTTCTTTTCTTGAATCCCTATATTACTAGCATATAGTTAATGGCACTTAGGATTAGTTATTGGTGGGGGGAAATAACATTTACAATTTTATATGGTAGTTGTGTTTGACAAAATGAAAAGGAATAATGCATGGATCCACAAAACGACACATTTCCTTTTTTTTTCTATCTCGTGTGGAGGAGTTAGAGAGATAAGTCAAAATAAAGACAATGCTCCCTAATATCTATAAGTCTACTGAGAGCTGATATCAGTTAAAAATGTTGAGTTTTTGCAGAATCCTAAGGAACACTGACTTGTATCTCGAGAACATGTGCCTGGATCAAGTACCTATTGAAAGGCATTTTCAACAAATAATGTCGTTTAGGTTTATGTAGTTCTATATAAATTTTTAATTAGTGCATGAACTAAAGTTTATAAATAAACAGTATTGTAAAAGAAAATAATCTTACTAATTATAAGAGATTACTATATGACCTTACAAACTAAGTTTACTTCTTTTTTACTTTTGATGCAACTTTGTGTAGTCTTTAAGAAGGTTAATTAGGTTATTGGGATATATATCAAATTTTGTTAGCAGGAAAAAAAGAAAGAAAGATATATATATATCAAATTTGATTCTTGAATTAAATTTCTAGACGTACAACTTTCGGATTTGAATAGATCATTATGACCATACCACACATGATTATATATAAACGACGTAACCAATTTTCCTCATATGCAACACTACATTCAAGTTCGGTTCGTGACAAACTGACAACGGAAAGAAAGCATTATCTTAATAGTAAAAATCCTGAAAAATTTAGTAAAAAATAAATAAATCCTGGAAAGGCTAAAGATAATTATACGGACCAAATTCTTGAACATCTCAATAATTGTAACAACGAAAAAAAAAAACATTTACAAAACGACAGTGTCGGAAAATGCAAGCCCATACGTGGTATAGATATATGATGATCATCCTCATGAACATATATAGTGATAGTACATAGCATATATAATGTATGAAGATATCTTGACACCAACATTTGTCCCCACATTCCGACCGCAAGCTGGGTATGATTCTTAGACTTGTCTCCACAAAGAAACTTCCAATACTAACCTTCCAATTATCAACCCAACGGAGCAAACCTTGCGAATTCTTGAGACAAAAACGGACCTCGACCAGTTTGGTGCTCATTGCTCACTCCAAGAAAATCCCGGGTTAAACCCATCTGCTGAACCGGGTTCATACCTGACCGGTTTGGTTGAAGTCGATGATTATTATCCACACCACTGGTATGAGGAGCAATATTCTGGTTCTCTCTTGAGACATTGGTGTTGAAGTTGTTGTTGAGCTGCTGTTGTTGGATCATCATTGGAGAAGACGATCTAGGAGGAGGAGTAGAAGCAGCGGATGAGGATGACGTCATTGTTGGGCCGGCGAAGATGGACGGAGCGGTGGTGGAGTTGCTTCTAGTGGATCCCATTTGTGCAGCTTTTTGTAAGAGTGCAGTGGCAGACATTGGAGAGAGAGGCTTGTTTTGTTTGCTGTTGGAGGAGGAGGAGAAGAGTGGGGAGAAAGAAGAGTCTTTCATGGTTTGGTGTTGTAGTGATGATAGTGAAGCTGAGGTTTGTTGTGATGTTGAGGATGATGATAAGGTGAGATTAGGGTTTGTGGAAGTCGTGGGAATTTGGAATTGTTGGTTGTGGTGGTGGCCGGAGAAGTCAGGGAGGACTGATGATGAAGACAACGGGAAGAGGTGGTGGTTCCCGGCGGATGTCATTTGTACCATCTCAGATAAACCTACAAGAAATATACAAATGGAAATTATGATAATAGTCTAATTAAAACTTAATATGAAAATTAGGAGGATAAAGATTGAGATATGTGTACCTTGCGGATGCATTGCACTTAGGTCATGTCCAAACCCTAAACCGAACTGAGAGATAGCAGCATTAATGTCGGGATGATGAATTCCTCGGTGGACAAATCCATGTGGAAGATTTGGATTATTCATAACATGTGATTCATTTCCAAAGTTCAGATTTGTCGTCATCGTTGTTGTAGAGATCGCTGGATTATTACTAAGTGAACTCATCCTTGCACCTTCTTCTGTTAATGCGTCGCAGAACGCTCTATGCGTGATGAAACTATCTTTCCTATAATAGAAAGCTAATTAGGTTTGTTCATAAATTGAAATAACGCGATGTGATAATAATAATAATAGTTAATCTAAGAAGCGAGAGACAAAGGGCATTGATTATTTAACATAGCATTGAATTTGAAATCATTAGCAAAACAAGACATTCTTGGCCGGAGGAAGCATTTATTTCTCCTATGCAAAATCACGACATGAAGACAGAAACAAACTTAATTAAGAAAATAAAAACACACTGTAAAACACCAACTCATCAGGCATCTATATGTACATGTGTGTTCGTGTGAATAGAAGAAAAGAGTGAAGCCAAATAGACATGTACACATACAAACACACAAAATAAATAGATGCTCATACCATCAAAAATCTCATCGAATATCATAATCACAAAGTATGCAGCTTTTTTGTCAAAATCTTTCGACAGTAAAAATAGTGCTCCCAAAAGTCAGAAACTCTTCAATTAATGCTCTGCACTCTAATCAAACTTCTCAACAGTACCAAATCACAAGACTTGTACTCACATTCATACCGACACTATGGTTAGATATCATACATATACATCTATCTATATTAATGTATTTTATTTTATTTTCACACAAATTTCTTAGTTTGTAACACTCGCTTTATTTATATGCCTTGTCATCCGATATATTGCTATAATAAGACTGATTACCGAGTTCTAATATGCTTAAACTCCATATCAACCAATACAAATGTTAATTTTCATCTCGTAAATAAAATCAAATGTGGTACCTGGAAAACAACGTGCCACAGTCGCACTTATACTCACGAGTGCCACAAGTTTTCGCGTGCGCCTTCCAATCAGATTGAACAGCATATTTCTTCGAACACTTCTCGCACTTAAACTTCTTTTCGCCGTGCTTGCGGCTATAGTGTTTTTTTATCCCAGTGAGGTCTCCAAGGGCCCTAGAAGAATCATGGTGAACACAAGTCTTGATAGGACATATGTATACTTTCTTCTTTATCACCTCCTTGTTGGACCGTTGCTTCAGCTTCCATGGAAGGTTGTGGCCACGGCGATGGAGTTGTAGGTTCTGATCCCTTTGAAACCCTTTGTTGCAGATCTCACAGACGAATCTGTTTGTTGCCATGAGGGTAGTTGGCGATAGAGCGATGACATCCGCATCTGGATCTGTCCATACATATATATGTATAAATATGATGTATTTTTTGTAACACATATTCTGTTCTAATGAGTTCAACTGTGTTATACTTACATGAAGATTATAAAAGAAACACACATATATGTTAACCACTCGGATATAACCAAATAATGGAAGATACACAATATTCATATAAGTATATATATATATATATATATGTCAATATTGAGTTTGTAATTATTGATCAGCAAAAAAAAATATATATATACAAATATATATTTACGAGTATATTGTGGTGATGATTAAGGTGGTACCTGGGGTGCCTGGTTGATTTCTCTTCTTCTTGGCTGATGAAGAGTTCGGTTTAACATTAGGGTTAGGGCTATAGTTAGGGTTAATTTCCGGGATATGCTGCTGAAGATGATTAAGATGCTGTTCTTGATGGACAAACCCTCCCATGGAAGATGAAATAGAAAATGGATCTCCTGGAATCATCTGCATATTTTTGTTTTGATGTAAACAGAGCTAAAGAACAAGAACTGGGTTTTGTTTTTTAATAGGACTATGCAAGAAAACAAAGAGGTGGTCAGGAGATTAGAACAGTATACAAACAAAATAGATAGTTAATTAGGGTTTAATTTGTAGAGGGAGAACAAGAACAAGAGCATATAAGTTTCTTTTGGGTTTTAGGGCTTGAGAATGTTTGAATGTGCTTGACTCTTTGGTTGTGCCAAATGACAAGAAAAGACCAAAGAAGATGAGGAAGAAGGCACGAAAGTATATGTGTATATAAAGATTATATTGAAGGAGGATTTGTTATTTAATAAACAAAAAACAGAACTAACACATGAATAAAGTTTTTTCGTCTAAATAATGCCTGAGAGATCTGGGAGATGTTTTTGTAGAGACCTACCTTTTTTTCTTTTGGTTTAGTCGATCTATGATTTCTTTCAAAACGGAAATTAATTGTTTACAATAATATAATACTAGTAATTTTTTCGGAAAGGCCAGACTCTCCCTTTCTCACAGACTCGCAGTTACATAGACACACGTGCATGTGTATACCCTATGGGGTGTTTAAAAGTTGGGAAAATAAATAGTAAGAGAGATCAACATTGATACAGTTATGATATGTTTATAAATAAGTGTATGTATATCTATTTATAGTAACTTATATCGATATTTTGGAATTTGATCATTCTACTAGAAACAACTATTACATTTTAATAATTAATTTGTATGATTTTTAAAGATTGATTGATTATATTTTATATTTATCTATCACAGTCAGAATTAAAAACTTATAATATTTTATAGTTTCTGGTATTTTTCTGATTTTAATTAGTTTAATTATTTGTTGTTGATCCTGATATTTATAGAATTGTTCTTTTTTTTTTTGAAACACATAGAATTGTTCATTTAACCATCTTCAAACACATATGCATGTATGTCAAGTTAAATCTGCCTAATATATAGACGCGAACCATTAGTAAAAACACTTTTATATGTTCGCAAAAATATATCAAATATATACTCTTTTAAGTCTGAATCATTATCTTATCTAGGATAATAATTTTTGCATGGTAACACAAAGTTGCTCTGTCCGTTATGCTTTCTTAACGATATCAATTTCATCAGATATATTCAATTGCCAACGCTACCCAATAGTTTTTGTTAATTATTTTATGAAAAAAATCCTATGTTAATATGTACCTTTTGAAAAATGTTATGTACTTGCTATGGTTTAGACCTATATATAATTTTAATTGAACATAGTTTCAACTCCTACTTTATTATAAATTAGTAAAAAATTGTACATCCAAGAAATTGTATTTGGCAAAGGAAAATGTTCTGTGTCCCAAGAACAAAGCATATAGGTAGATGCAAAAAGTTCCCGGTTTTTAAAGGGAGCACCATCTTTGACTCCCAAAAAGTTTTAGGAACTCAAAAAGCCTTTTTGTAATTTGTATTCTTTCAACTATAATCTATACATTTTTTAATGGAAATGCAAACTATGATTCATTGACACACGCCAAGAAAAGTGATTTAGTTTTTAACTAAATGTGATTTAGTCTTTTTTCCTAAAAGTGATTTAGGTTCAAATGTAATTAAGTGTACAGGCAAGAGAAGTCAACATGTGGTACGAACGATCAGTATATTGACACGAAAACAAAGATCTATTGATGACTGTCTATTGTCACCGATAATACAGCGATCAAACGATATATAGCCTAGTACTAATTTTTTTGAACCTGAAGCCTAGTAGTCTAGTACTTCACGTAGTGAAACGTGTATTAATCTTAGCCGGGATTATATCTAAAAGTTTTGGAAGAAGAAAATATTTCATTCACAGGTGAATTACTTATTTTTTGTGCTATTAATTTGAGCATAAAATAGTACTAATTAACAGATTTGAAATATAACGAATTTGGATTCCAAAATAACGATTATGTGCGTGGACAAAATAAAGCTATTTGATAGATCTTGAGTGGACTAAAAGTTGCTTCCATCAACTTATTGAACATTTAGATCTTCCTTTCTTCTTCTTTAGGTTTGTGATATCGAGGAAGTAAGAAGAAAGGAGAATGCCTTTAAGGAAATAGATGGAAAGAAATGATGAAGGCATAATTACAGAGTTGGCCCAAACATGGCATGTTGCATGTTGTTTTGTACTCTGTGTTAGAGAGAGGATCTTTGGCATTTCCCGATGAAGACGATAGGACAGTCCGTGACGCCTGTCTCTCTGTCTGTGGGACCCTCTTTTTGAAGCTATGATTTTCATGCACATTTCTCTTCTTCTTCTATTATCAGCGTATACTATTTTCTTTTTAATCTTCAGTTATATATAAGTTCATGAGCATCATGGTGATAATGATATATAACTGCGCTTCCAATTTTTAGATTTGGATCCAAGTCTAATGTAGTGATGGCTTTCTAGTATTTGCTTAGGCTGGTATAAACATTTTTTATATACTGTATTAGATTGTATAACACCTTTTTAAATTTTGTCTAACGCACATGGTTTACGTTTACAATTTTGATGCTTGATAAAATAATTATAAGATTTTCAAATTCAACGCTGAATATGTGAAAAAGGTTGTTATATGAAGGTGATGGTTTGATATATCTCTATTTTCAGCTCATTTAAATATTATTATTTTTTTGAAAATCTCATTAAAATATTGATATTGTTTTCTCAATAAATGGATATATTATTTGGAAGTTTTGTTTATTTTATACTTATATAAACAGTTTTGTAAGGTGAATGCAAGTTTATAGACATGCACATATTAGAAGATCGACGGTAGTATTAAATTTAATTTTATGTATAGTGAATTCCCGAAATACTCTTTATATTATTTGAGAATTGATTTGATCATATGTGATTATTATATTGCTTTTCGTTTTAAAGATAATACGACAACATAAATGCACATATAGGCAGATGTAGGAGCAAATTTAATTGGAGACATCCATATATATTTTAAATTAATCGGAAACACTTTCATAAAAATTGAACTGGTTTTAAAATTATTGCTTAAAAAAATCAAAATTCAGTTGGATCGCCACTAAATATATATTTACATTTACTGTTGTTTTATATTGATAAATTATAAAATATGATAATAAATCATAAATTATCATTAATAAAATAACATAATAGTAAAAATATAATATAATAAAAAAAATTGTTTTATCATAATTTTTACATATATATTTAAATTAAATTTTAAAATTAAAATTTTGTAAACAAATGATGAAATTTAAAAATAAACAAAAAATATTTTAAATACAATTTAAGTTTTAAAACTTTTATTTTTGCACATGGTGTAAGAAGAAATTTAGTGTAAACAAGTATACAATAATTATACATATCTTATAGATTACATTACATTACATTAAAAATTCCATAAATGATGCAACTCAACCTCTATTTTGGCTTTTTGTGTTTGCTTTCTTTTGGTCCATTGGATGCTTTGATATTCCCTACTTGGTATCCAAAGTTTGTGTATACGATTTAAAAATCTCATTATTTTAGGTTTATCATATGTACTAAACTACTAATACGTCTATACAGTTATACAAGATAAATTATTCTTGACTCAACCGTAAATTCTGGAACTCAAACTTTAATTTCAATGTGTAAATAACTTGGTTCTGTAGTCTGATTCTTTAGATAGTGGTTCTTCATGAGAACGATTATGAAAACGAAATTGTTGAAAATAATTTGTCTTTTCAAAATTATTGAAGAGTTAACGCAAAAACCAATCTAAATAATCTCGCTATATTTACATCACAAAGTTAGCATCAATATTGTTATATAAGGGTCAATCGTCATATTATGACTCCACTTGAGTCTTGTTAATTATTTAGCTTGTGTAACAATTGTATTTGAATATGGATGCCGGTGTTATTATAAACCTCTCCCAGTCAATATTCAACTACGTTAGACGTCACGTCATTATAAAATAATGATTTAGACGTTTCAAACAACACGATGAATATATAGCATGTCTGCAAAAAATTGGTTTCTGTTTAAAAGCTCGGAATAAAACTTGTTAATATCACTCGTTCGGATCTTAAATTTATTTTGGTTTAACGTTGGGCTTAGTGTTTCAGCAAATACACAAGGAACCGACATGGCCCTGTAACGTGACACAGTTAACACTATTGCTCCTCCATTTACCCGCGAGATAACACTTTTGTAGCTTTTGGGCTAAAATAGGTTGCAACCCAAGTCCATAGCATAATATAACAGAGCATTTATAACAGGACTATGCAACAGTTGATAGTGTTTTACTTTTTGTTCATTAAGCAAATCTGAATCTTAAATAATGTCTTCATAACTAAAGAGATACATTAGAGTGCTTGAATCACCGAAAACCAGAAATTAGAAAGGGCATAACTTTTCTCTTTACTTTTAGGAAGCAACGTGTCTTTCAATATATAGATCAAACGAAAATGGAAGTCAAGATGACAATAATATGCAAATAATAAGTGTGAAGAAGACTATCCTTGTGAGTTTCATGTTTATATGAGCAGATAATCTCACCAATGCCATAAAGTCTTGCAACAGTGGCTAAACAATGCTTTCCCGACCTGCAATGCATGAAGCAAACAAAACACATTTGAGAAAAAAATTACAAGATACTGAATCAGATAATTTGTTGGCGGCATTAAGCAATGCAAAAACAAATTTAACGTTATGAGGGATGATCAGAATAGCTTAAATGAGCTACAAGAAGTATGACGTGAACTGGTTTTAGTCGTTTTGGTCAAGCTTACAGTAGAACTGAAAGCAGCCTAACCGTGTTTACAAATTCCATTTCTACTATTACCGAACAACAGAGATGGGGAGAACATATTGTTTTTCATGTTTCCATGAATCAATCAAACTGCTTGAATATAATTCTCGAACTCTTTTGATTGTGAATTAAGTTATAAAAGCTAATGATCAGCATGCAGGAAGCAGTCAATGAAGGCAAGCAAGAAGATGGATCTAGAACTAGAGAAACTCCTTAGCACAAATACGCCAAAAATGAAAAAAAATGAGAAGACAAAAGAACAAACTTGGTTCTGAAACCTTCTGGATAAATGCATTTCATTTACATTCACATTCACATTCACATTGTTCTTCATGTGTGTATCTACTGCTAAAAATGGCACACAACTCCAACAAACGAAGATAACAGATACACATCCACAAACCCTGACTAACTATTTCCACTCATTTAATTCATCCTACAGCAAAACAAAATAACAAACCAGTATCAAGATGCACTTTTGTCGACCAAGTCCAATGAGCATTCACCACCAATCAATGCAATAAACATTCTTTAGCTAAACAAAAAATATCATCAAAAGCTACAGCTGATCAAAAGCTAATGTTGATCAAATCTAAAAAAGTCCAATCAAGCTAATGGTTCTGTAAACTTCTGGATAAATGCATTTCATTTACATTCACATTCACATAGTTCTTCATGTGTTATGGCACACACTTCCAACGAACGAAGATAACAAATACATATCCAAACAACCCAGACTAACTATTTTCCACTCATTTAATTCATCCTATAGCAAAACAAGATGAACAAACCAGTAAGATCACTAATGAGCGCTCACCACATCAATGCAATTGAACATTCTTGACCTAAACAAAAAGTATCATCAAAAGCTAACTCTGATTCCCATTTCCTTTTATTCTAACAAACAGTGATAGAAGTTTCAGACTTACCAAATCAATCAGACTTAACACCCTCCAAGTTCTTCTTCCTAGCAGCTCTAGCATTATCATACTCAAACTTCAACACATCAGGAATATGAGAAGTATCCTTAACACACAACCACCTCCCTAAAACACTCTCCTCAATCACCGGAAAATAAGGAAACAAAACACTATTCACCACCCAAAACCAACTCCCACCAACAACCACCCCTAACAACGCCCCAGCAAAAACCTGAACCACCGTATGATACCCCAAATAAACCCTAGAATACATAGTCACAACCGCCAACGACCAATGCAACAGATTCAAAACCCATCTACTCCTCAACCCGAACCAGAACCCGATCCCTTTACACCCCATCAAACTAAAGTACGTCGCGAAGAAGAACATGAACTGCGAGTGGCTCGAAGGCCACCCGTGCGAGTCGCAGGCCTCGAGCATGGTACACGTCTCGGGACGAGCTTGTTCGACGGTTGTTTTGATGAATTCGTTGATGAATTGGGAGATCACGAGGCCTACGCCGAAGAAGATCCCTTGGAGCTCGCGGCGGAAGAGGAAGTGGGAGACGAATCCGCCGAGGCTGATGAAGACGGGGACGAGGGAGATCCACGCGAGGAAGTGGCCGAGGTGGTCGCCGCGGCGGTAACGAACGTGTGTGAGAGTTATGGCTTTGAGTTTCGGAGGTAGATCCATTTTGGTGGGTGGTAGATCCAGAGGGAATCTGACGTTCGGTTTCTTCTTGGTCTTCTCCTTTCCTAAAGTGACGGAAACGTGGATGGGAAGAGAGAAAAAATGGAAAGTCAGACGGTGAGGCTCCGGACAAGATGTGGATGCGTGACACGTGTTCTGTAATGGGAACGAGTGTTTTTATTCAGATGCGTCACGTTATATAAAGGTGTACGCAGGGACAAGTAAGAAGTCGACACGTTGTATATATGGTTTGCCACATCAGCAAATGCAGGTTTGGTCAAATTTGCTTTGGATTCAATTATAAAATTTTGAAGTTAAATTGCTATTTGCTGACACAAAAAAAAGAAGTTAAGTATCATATTGATAATATGTATCTTTAAAATTTTTGCAGTAGAAAATAAATGGTAGATTTTTTTGTTATAATTTTAGATTTTGTTGCTAGAGATTTAATGAGAAGTTCAAAAAAATTGTTTGAATATTTGACTCTAGAAAATTTTAATTTTTAATTTAAAAGAAAATGTTAAAATTTGATTGTTGTGAATTGTTGTTTTAAAAATATATGATGCTCTAGAGAATATTTCCAGTCATAACTATCCACACTCTAAATTGCTACATTTAAAAAGAAAAAAAGAACTCGCTGACCAAAATAAATACAAGGGTTTATTTGCCATATAATCAAGAAAAAATTTAAAATTAGTTTTTTAGAAATAAGTTAGAGAGAGATAGGAACAAGAAAGAAGAAAGAGGGTGAAATTTTAGCTACTTTGCAAATTTTGGTTTTTTCATAGTTATTGCATTCAATTTTTCTAAATACAATCTAGTCATTCAAAAAAAAGGAAATACAAATTTATTTTATATACTCCTTAGGTGTGAAACCTATGTTGAAATATAAACATGGTTTTGGGTTTTCCCACTAGTCCAAGATTCAAAGCAAAAGTCAAGAAGCCCAAGAAGCCCAAGAAGAAGAAGTGTGTAGAAGAAATTATGGATAAGACTAAGAGAAGGATCTAGAGATAGTTAAGTAGTATAAATAGGGATGCTTGGCTCACTTGTAAGAGCATCCCACAACAAGCAAAAACAATCATAAATAAAGAGTAGTAGTTTTGAGAAAGAGTTCTCTCAAGAGTTATAAAACTCTCTCTAAATACAAAGCTTGAGTAGCAAATCTCTTTTCTAAATACGGAGGCTAACTTTTATAGTAGCAGTCCAATTTCCAATTTATCCGCTACAAGAAACGTTATCCCGCTAATATTCCCAACAACCTAATTGTCTTCTCCGACCCTAAAAAGTTAGAGATGGTGGACGAGGCTGAAGATGGAGACGATGGCAGCATCATCGACAGTGGAGTCGCTAGCCACCCCTCCGGTTCTCCACCAGAAACCAAACCAGTCGCTGAAACAGTGGAAGGTGTTGATATCATCAGCTCGATGCCACATGTGATCCTCCACCATATTCTCTCTTTTATTCCAACTCAGTTCGCGATCAGAACTTCCGCCTTGTCCAAAGCATGGAGGCATGTATGGTGCCACACACCTTGTCTCTACTTTCATAATCTCCAAGATAATGGAGAGAAGACGGCTCGAGTTATAAACCAAACCCTAAGTTCCTACAAGGCTCCGAAAATCACGAGTTTCCATCTTGATTTACCCCGATATGTCCCTCAACCCCAGGTTAATACCTGGATGGAGTTTGTTGTGTCCCGTAACGTGGAGAAGCTGTCTCTTGTCTTCGATGGTTACACGACTCAATGTTTCCCAGATTTCTTCTATCGTAGTTCGTCTCTAGAGAAGCTCCGCGTGAATTTTGAAATGAATCTGGGATGCACAATATCTTGGAAATCACTAAGGAACTTGACGTTGAGCAATTGTAGTCTCTATGAATCATCGCTTGCTAATATTCTCTCTGGCTCTCCAATTCTTGAAACCTTGAAATTGTCTAACTGTAGAGGACCTCAGCGTCTTGATCTGAGTAAATCACGTAGTTTGAGGACACTGCATATTTGGGATTACAGGAGGGACCCAACCGAGATGATTGATGATTACGTTGAGCGTTATGAAGGGCCAACAGAGATTGTAGCGCCGCACATCCAATATTTGAGTTTGAGTAGATCTTATGAACCATTTACTCTAGTCGATGTCTCTTGTGTGACCGAAGCTAGCCTTGACATTTACATTGGACCTTCACCTTACATTAATGTAGAAGAGCTTCCTTTCAGTTTCAAGGCCGATATTTTTCAAACAGCGGTCTTGAAGATGCTTGCAAATTTACAAAACGCAGAGAGACTTTCTTTTGGGGAAACCTTTCTTCAGGTTTATATTCTTTTACCATCCTCGATCTCTAGTTAATTAAGGACGGCTAAAACTTTCTATTGCGTATATATAGTCACTGTTTGTTTGATGATTATAAGCATTTGTAATATGTAAACATCAAGTGGCTAACTAGTTTGTGACAAATATATTTATATGTTTCACTAACCCGTGACCTTCTCATGATCATTTTTTGCCAGGTTATGTCTCTCGCTCGTTTCCGTGGTTTTTCTTTCCCAACGTTCAAGGTCCAAACTATGACGCTTAAAACCAGGTTAACAAGATCTGTTATTCCTGGTATAACACGGTTACTACTTAGATCACCTGGATTAAAGAAGCTAACCGTAGAAGCATGGTACTTTAATAACATAAAGGTATAGTTTCCTTTTATTTTATTGTATACTAACTAGGAACCCTTCAAGAATCATGTCTTTCGTTTTCCTTTCGGGGCTAACTAATATATATATATATATGCATGATTGGCATATTGTAAAAAAAAAATCACTTGTGGTAGTGTATATATATGCGTTGGAGTAACATTTTTGATGCTTTTGCAGAATAAAGATATCTACAGCTATTTGGAGTCACAAGACTTGAATCCAGATCAACTTTTTTATCCATCTGAGTTTTTTCCTACCTTAGATGAGTACTCTGGGATAGTAAGGCATGAGGATTCATTGTGGGAACTCCTGCTGTATTTCGTTGAAATGGTGCTGATGAATGTAACGACACTAGAGACGGTAGTCGTAGGGTTGAAATCTACTGGCCGAAATTTCAATGATGCAAAATTGCTTGAAGAGTTGCTTCAGATGCGTGCAACACTTCCTAGCAACAATAATGTCTCTATCCTGATCAAACGCTAAGTATTTGTATCAGTGTTTTTTATTCACTCTTAGTTTTATACAACGTTTGTATATGTGAATTTTTATGTGAAATTTTGCAGTTGAAAAATTAGCTGGGTCATTTGTTTTTTTTTTGGTACTATTTCTCTTTTTTTTTTGTTGCCAAAATATGTGAAGTTTCATATAAAATGATAGCTGTTTGCAGTGTTTTTACAAAATTTTGAACTTGAATGGGTTCATCTTGGCAAAAATAAATTAGGAAAAAAAAACAAGATGAAGCCTTTAAGAAGTTTTTGATATCTTCTACTCATTCGCTTACCACATTTGCATTAAGTTGTTGAATGAGCGTTGTTTCATGAAATATACAGTCTCCCATATCCAAATCTGCACATCACAAAGTCCCATACCTGCACATTATTCTGTTAAACTAATTAATTAACCATTACGTCTCGTCTTTCACTCAACCACTTCGTATATACGTTCATTAAAAGTTCTAGAGATAAGATTGCTCACTATAACAAAATTGTAAGTACATGGTATGTAATTGAAATAAATAGGTATGCCACCTGATCATGAAGACAGGGACGAGAGAGATCCAGGCGAGGACCAGACCGAACTGATCTCGGTGACGGTACCAGACGTGTTACGGCTTTGAGCTGGTGAGGTAGGTCTATTAGATGCTGCAGAATCGAGCAAGGAAGAGATAGATCCAAAGGAATCGAGATGTACAACTTTTGTCTTTGGTCAATTTGCTTTTGAGATCGCCTTTGGATTCATTTGAACGTTTCTCAAGTTAAAATTTCTATTGAATGTATGCTTGGAAATAAGGGACTAATTTGAAATTATAAATTATTTTTAATTAAACTTTGTTTTATATATACTCCTTAGCTGTGAACCCTAAAAATTGTCTTTCTCCACTACTCCACTCCTAAACGCGCTAGAGATGGTGGGCGAGGCTGGAGACGGAGACGGTGGCAGCATCGTATCTAGTGGAATCCCTAGCCACAGCTCCGATTCTCCCCCATACACCACCAAACCACTCGATGAAACAGTGGAAGGTCATGTTGATATGATCAGCTCAATGCCACATGAGATCCTCCACCATATCCTCTCGTTTATTCCAACTCAGTTCGCGATCAGAACTTCCGCCCTGTCTAGAGGATGGAGACATATATGGTGCTACACACCTTGTCTCGACTTTGATAATCCACACTCTATTTATTATGGAGAGGGGATGGCTCAAAATATACGCCAAACCCTAAGCTCCTACAAGGCTTTGAAAATCACGAGTTGTTGTTTTCGTATTCCCCGAGGTTACCGTAAATATGTTGATAGCTGGATGGAGTTTGTTGTGTCCCGTAATGTGGAGAAGTTGACTCTGTTCATGGATGGTTCTTATATTTATAACATGCCTTATCGTTTTCCAGATATCTTCTATCGTAGTTCATCCTTAGAGACTCTCAGCGTGGATTATGATATGATTCCGGGATGCACAGTATCTTGGAAATCCCTAAGGAAGTTGAAACTGCGCAACTGTAATCTCTATAGTGAATCTATTGATAATATTCTCTCTGGCTCTCCAATTCTTGAAACCTTGACATTGCATAACTGTAGAGGACCTCAGCGTCTTGATCTGAGTAAATCTCGTAGTTTGAAGAGATTGGATATTTTTGAGTACGATAGGGAGCCAACCGAGAATTACTACGTTGAGCGTTATCAAGGGCCAACAGAGATTGTAGCACCGCACATCCAATATTTGAGTTTGAGTAGTTCTTATGAACCATTTACTCTAGTCGATGTCCCTTGTTTAACCCAAGCTAGCCTTGACATTGACATTGGAACTTCACCTTACTCTGCAATAGACGACGAGCTTCCTTTCAATCTGAGAGCTGAATATTTTCAAACAGCGGTCTTACAGATGCTAGCGAAATTACAAAACGCAGAGAGGCTTTCTTTTAGTGGAACCCTTCTTCAGGTTTGTATATATTTACTTACCATCCTCTCTAGTTACTTTCAATTATTCTATACCGTACGTAGAGTCACTGTTTGTTTGATGATTGTAACCATTTGTAATATGTAAACATCAAGTGACTAACTAGTTTGTAACAAAAGTATAGATTAATTATATGTTTCACTAACCCGTACGTGACCTTCTCATCATTTTTTTTTGCTAGATTCTGTCTCTCGCTCAGCTCCGCGGTGTTCCTTTCCCGACGTTCAAGGTCCAAACTTTGACCCTTGAAACCACTTTAGCAAGATCTGTTATTCCTGGTATAACAAGGTTACTACATAATTCACCTGGACTAGAGAAGCTAATAGTAGAAGCATCACAGTGGGGTGAGATAAAGGTATAGCTTCCTTTTAATTTAGTGTACTATACTAACTAGGAACACTTGAAGAATCATGTCTTTCGCTTTCTTCTTTCTTCGGGGATAATAATCTATATATTTGATTGGTATTTTGAAAAATCACTTGTGGTAGTCTACTACGTTGGGTAACACTTTTGATGCTCTCTCTATAGGATGGTGATATGTACAGCTATTTGGAGTCACAAGGCTTGAATCCAAATCAACGTTGGAGAGCATATAAGCTTTTTCCTACCTCAGATGAATTTTATGCGATTGTCAATGATAAGGAGTCAACGTGGGAAGTCGTGGCGTTGTTCGTTGAAATGATGCTGATAAATGTAACGGCACTAGAGACGTTAGTTGTAGGGTTGAAATGTATTGGCCGATGCTTTGGTAATGCAGAATTGCAGGAAAAGTTGCTTCAGATGCTTCCAACACTTCCTAACATCAATAATGTCTCCATCGTACTCAAGGGCTGAGTATTTTCATCAGTGTTTAATTCACTCTTAGTTTTATACAACGTTTTCTATGAATCCCTTGGAGATGTGGAACTGTTTGTATATTAATTTTGTGTGAAATTTTGCAGTTGAGAATTTGGGTATTTATTAGTTTTTCTGTATTATCTAATATATCTATTTAGGGTCTTATTTTTATCTATTATTAACAAGTCATAAGTCAACGTATCACATAAAAATTAGTTAACATGACAGCTTTCTTAGACTTTGGATGGTGGGTTTATTCAAAAATCAAGGGTTAGTAACTTCATATGGTTCTAGCTCCAAGTTAACAAGTTGGTATAGACCTTGGAACACATGAGGCAGAACAAGATATATGCCACTCAAATACAAATACGATAATGGCAATGAGGATGATTGATTATTCTGAACGAACGTGGGCCTTTTTATCATTAAATTTAAATTTATGTACTTGAAACTTTTTTGCATCTTCTTGTCTATCATAAACAATGGTTAGTTACACTATCAAATTTGATTGACAAAAATAATCATGGACCTAAAGTACTGAAAATACATTTTTTATAGTTAAATTGTATATACTTGAGAATACAGGGACTAATATGAAATTATTAAGAAAAATAAAATCTGTTTAACGGCGGGCGCGAGGGAATGGATCCAATTAGGGTCAAACTCTATCAAATTTAGGGTTCGTAATTGAACATTTCCCCGTTGGTGTGATTCTGAGTCAAACCCAACCCCCGAACTGTGCTCCAATGGCAGATGATGGTTCCGCAGCTAATCGAAGAGACCCAATTAAGTCTTCAGGTAGATTTTTTATATCCTCTTGGACGATTGAACTTTTGAATCGGTGTTTGATTGTATTTATCTTGGATATGACGGTGTGTGTGTGTGTGTGTGTAGTTGGGAACGTCGCGGGACAAAGAAGGCGGCAACAAGCCGTTACGGTGGCAAAGGAAAGACGAGAATCACTTGTTCGAGCCAAGCGGCTTTGTAGAGTGGGCGCTAATGGCGATGATGATGATGAGGATCCTCATGTTGAAAATGAGATGCTGATTGATGAAGACCAGCCAGTTCTGGAGGCTCAAACTAGTAAAGCCGTGGAAGAGCTCAAGTCTGCTGTTCTCTATCAGTAAGTGGAATCTTTTTCCACTTGAACGCCTAGGGATTGATTGATTGATTGATTGATTGATTGATCAAGTTTGTGATTATTTTCAGGGGGAAAGGTGGAATGCAGAAGAGGGTGGTTGCTCTTCGGGAACTCAGGCGTTTACTATCAAAATCCGAGTTCCCTCCTATTGAAGCTGCGCTCAGTGCTGGTGCAGTGCCTTTGCTTGTTCAGTGTCTTTCCTTTGGCTCTCCCGACGAACAGGTTTGTAGAGATTTATTTTAAGTTAGATATGGTTCCAAGTACGCTTAATATCCATTGGAATAGGATAAATTAAGTAGGTTGCTGATCTTTTGATCTCACTTGTGTCTAATTCCAGTTACTTGAGTCAGCTTGGTGTCTTACTAACATCGCTGCTGGAAAACCTGAAGAAACTAAAGCTCTATTGCCTGCATTGCCGTTGCTCATTGCACACCTTGGAGGTTTGTACTGCCTAACTAACTCTGTTATTATTACTATTTTCTTTTCTTCTTTTTGTTGGATTAGATTTTCTTATGCTTCCATTTATATTCAGAAAAGAGCTCTGCGCCGGTGGCTGAGCAGTGTTCGTGGGCAGTTGGTAATGTTGCGGGTGAAGGAGAAGATTTGAGAAATGTTCTTTTGTCTCAAGGGGCTTTGCCACCTCTAGCACGTATGATTTTTCCCGACAAGGGCTCAACAGTAAGAACAGCTGCATGGGCATTGTCAAATCTGATTAAGGTGTGAAAAAGCCTATCTCTTGTTTTATCACATTGTTACATAGTTATCTCATTATGGATTAATATAGGGACCTGAGTCAAAAGCGGCAGCACAACTTGTCAAAGTCGATGGGATAGTTGACGCAATTCTCCGACACTTGAAGAAAACGTGAGCAAAGTTTCACCTCTCTTATAACATTGCAGCAAGTATTAGCTTTTTGTGATGTCTTGCTTCTTGCTGATTCTTGAGCTTCATGCGGGTCTTTTTCATGTCACCGATATTCCCTTTTTCTCAACTTCGGTGGATAACTTGATTAAATTCTTGGATTCAGGGATGAAGAAATTGCCACGGAAATTGCTTGGATCGTTGTTTACCTTTCTGCCCTCTCAGATATCGCTACAAGTATGCTTTTGAAGGGAGGCATTCTTCAATTACTAGTCGAAAGATTGGCATCTTCAGATAGTCTACAACTTCTCATCCCGGTAACTTTCCAAGAGACAGGATTCTAGTTAGTATAATTCATGTATTACAATTGATCATGCTATGCAAGAAATTGCTTTCAGGTCACATTTATTTCATTTTTACCCATATGAGCATATGATTGATTAAAACAGAAAACTAACTACATGCTAATGTTTTTGTGGATTTTTTCACTTGTTGCATTTTGGGTTCTATCTAAAATTGAGTTCATTTGCAGGTTCTACGAAGTTTAGGCAACTTTCTTTCTGTGGATCCGAAAGCAATGTTAACCATCCTTATTGGTGGAAAGAACACTGAAGGTTAGTATCTGTTAACTATTTCGGTTGAAACAACTATTACGTTAATCATGTTTTTTGTTCAAGATACTGACATTCCAGATCAAATTCCAGAAAGTGTCATTGGTGTGCTTGCAAAGTGCTTAAGAAGCGAACACCGTGTCTTAAAGAAGGTCAGTATCACTTACCCACTTCGTTTTCCTCTGTTATCCGAAAATTTTCCTTTTTTTTATTCTCATCACTGAACTCAATTTTGTAGGAAGCTGCGTGGGTGTTATCTAATATAGCTTCGGGATCTATTGAACACAAGAGAATGATACATTCTACTGAAGCAGTACCCTTGTTGATAGGGCTTCTGTCTACATCACCCTTTGATATAAGGAAAGAAGTTGCGTACGTCTTGGGAAATCTCTGTGTAGAATGTGCAGAAGGAGACACAAAACCAAGGATAATTCAAGAGCACTTGATCTCCATTGTTTGCGGCGGTTCCCTCCCCGGTTTTATTAACCTGGTCAGATCTCCTGATATTGAAGCTGCTAGGCTTGGTCTTCAATTCATTGAGCTGGTAAGCAACTAACTTGGTGGTCTTACTAGCTCAGCGAGACCCGAGTTTGAGTTTACTTCTATGTTGATAGTCATTTTGGATCCAGAATCATCCTAATGTGTTTTGATCATTTTAGGTACTAAGAGGAATGCCAAACGGAGAAGGTCCAAAGCTTGTTGAAGGAGAAGACGGAATTGATGCAATGGAAAGGTTCCAGTTCCATGAAAACGAAGAGCTAAGAGTGATGGCAAACAGTCTTGTGGATAAATACTTTGGTGAAGATTATGGAATCGATGAATGAAACCGCCTCAGAGTTTAAGGGTATATATCCCTGTGAGAATAGAAAGAAGTGGGGATGATGGGAATCAAAGGAAACCAGTCATCGTAGCCTTTACTTAAAACGAAAGAAAGTGAGAGAGATAGCGTTGACATCATTAGGACTTGGATCTTCTTTCTTTGGGTTGTGTTGTTGTAATTTGTAACCTGTGTAATACAGTTTTGTTTAGCCAAGTGGGAATTTTTGTATCAGTGTTACAAGCAGGCCAATGATTGCAGGAGTAGTAAATTGCTTAAACTTTCCTATTGGCGCATCAACTCTAATCCATAGTTTAAGGATTTGAAACCCAAAAATAATGCATTAAATAAAGTCACTTTGTTTTGATGAGAAGTGCACGAAGGGTTTAAGACTGTTGATTAAGTTAACCTCACCCTAAACAATAATTTAATCTAAAATTAGTGCGAGATAATGGACACTGCCTTTTCGCATTCCCGCTTCATTTTTAGGGCTGTGTTTCTTCCTTCTCTCTCTCTCTCTCTCTCTCTTTGTCTCTCTGGCCCCTTACTAATTGTTAAGAGTTTTGAAGAAGGAAAGAAATTTCCTCCAGCGTAAGTTTTTTCTCCTGAAAATTGTTCTTAATTTTTTTTTCCTTTGTTTGGTGGAGCGTATGAAGATTTGTTTTTTAGGGTTTCTGCTTGTTAGATCTTTGTTCATTTCTCTTCTTTTTCTCTTTTAGTGGAGAAATTGCTGCAAATACGTGACTATGGAGCTTAACACGAGTCTGGGTTTTAGGTTTCTTCAGTGAATCTGTGAGAAAAAGTTGTAATTTGGCTACAGTAGCTTTAGCAAAAGCTTGTGATGATGCTGTTTGTGTTGTTTCAGGTTAGGTTTCGAAAGCAATTTCTGTAAAATCATCAGATCGTCGTGAAAATTTCGGGAAAGAACAAAACTTTACCGGTGTCTAATCAAGTGAGCAGCACTATGTCTGCTCAAGAGGACTTATTGTTGATGACGAAGCATCAGATTCTGATGGAGAACTACGAGAGTCTGAAGGAAGATTACGCGAGTCTTGAGCAGAGGTTTAAGCATGTCGAACAAATGAATGAGACGATGAAGACGTGTCTTCAGAGCCATAACCAAAGTAAGGAACTTGTTGAGGCCACGAATCCGGGCTTGCTCAGGGATCTTGAGAGGGAGAGAGACGAGTACAAGAAGATGGTTGAGGAGATAAAGAGTGAGAGTGAGGGCATGATAAATGAGTTGAGGATCGGGAATGATGAGCTTTTGATTATGTTGGAGAAAGAAGAGGAGGAGAAGAAGATGTTGGAGAGCAAGTATGATGAGTTAGTTAAGAGATTTAGCGAGATTGAAAAGGAGTGTTCGTGTTTGAAGTCGCTCTATGATGATGCTAAGAGACTCAACGGTCAAGGAAGGAACAATGTGGGTTTGGAAGATGAGGTGATTGTGGTGGGTGAGAATCATAATGTGAACAACAACAACAACACAGTGGCTGGTATGTCTGTTTTTTCTCTTGTTTTGGTGAACCTCTGCTGTATTTGTTATGTAAACAAAAGAAAAAGAAGTGTTTTGGTTTGGATCTTTCTTTTGTGTGCAGATGCGATTGTGCTCAGTGACGAGAGTGATGCTGAGAATGATAATCCCACAAGAGAGAGCAACATAAAACAAGAAGGCAGCAATGGAGTAAACTCATCACAAGTGAAGCATTCATCATCATCAAAAATAACGCATCCATTATCCTCCCCTTCCTCCTCCTCTTCATCATCATCATCAGATGTGTATCTTGTTCCGCTTAAAAGATCCCGGGTTGATGATTAGAGCAAGACGTTTTAGAAGCCGTCAGATGCAGAGAACATAAAGCTGCTCTTTTATCAAATATCAGATGTATTGTTTTTTGTTTTTGTCCCTGAGTTTTAACAATTTCAAGGAGCTAGATTGCTAATGTTATTCTTGTTAGGTGAATTCTCTATTTGTTTTAAAGTACTACTTGGATCGTATATATTCGGCTTGAATATCTAATCTGCTTCCTAATCCAATGCATTGTTTGATTTGATTATTGAGTCATTTCTCTAACACCATATGTCACGTGAGTACTTAAAACGCCATTAGTATCCAACTAATCAGGTAGTGCTGGTGTTAAACTCGTGAATAATTAAAAATAATATTATTCAAAATTTGAAATGTTTAAATGGTTCGTTCGTCGCTAGCTGCTTCCCATTCTCTTCACTCACGCTCTCACTAAATTCTCCGTTCTTCATCGCCTTTGTGAAGCGTAAGTTTTCTCTCTGCTTCGTTTGTCGATCTCGATCTAGTTTCTTCGGTTCTATAGTAGAATCTCTTCAAGGTAGATTGCTCGTGATGTAATCGTGTACAATTTTAGATCGGGAATCGAAAATCTGTTGCGATGCTTTAGGTTGTAGCGGATTCCATTGATTTGATTAGAAACCGTAATCGAAACCTGTTTGTGATGTGTATTCGAAGCTCATGAGAATCGTTCTAACTGCTGCAGGTTAGGTTAATCACTGAAAATGGAAGAGGCAGGAGGAAACGGAGGGTTTCGGAAACGCATGAAGCCATCTGTATGTTTCTTATCTTCCGTTTATCTTCTTCTTCTGATGATGATCTGATTCTGTAGTAGTAATGGATGATTTTTTTTTTTGTTCTGGCTTGGGAAAAATTTGATAGGATGAAGAGGAAAAAGGAGAGTCGAGAGATGGAATGAGTGTTGATGATACACATGAGAATGAGACGAAACTTGTTGCTTCTGATGAGATGGAACTTCACATTGCTCAGATTCTGGATAAGATTGAGAGCTTCACTCAGACTGTAAGCTCTGATGAATAACTAAACGCATTTTGATTTGTTCATCACTGATGATTATTATGATCCTTTCTTGTTGTTGTAGGTATCTAATCTGCTTGATTCTGGAAAGACAATGTTCAAGGAACTCAGTAACGAATTTGAAGAACGCTTGATCATGTAAGATTCAAAAGAGACTCTATAATGTTTAATGTACTGTACAATGGATTGAGATGTTGCTTTACTCACCTGAATAGTCCGTTTACATATATGAACAGGATACACAAGGAACATGTTGAGAAGTGGCAGGAAGAGATCAAGGAGTTGCGTTTGCTTGATGCATCAAACGAGGACACTACTTCCCTCTTGCACAACGCTCGATTCCTGATTCAGAATCCTAACATTGAGCCTTGAGGTAACAATCTAAAACGCATAAAGGAAGTACACTGTCAACCATTACTAAGAAAATCTAATATCTTCTCCCAAGTGGCGTAGCAACAGATTTACATATATATCACCTTATAACATATATGTTGTTTGGGGAACTTATATTTGCACAATTTAGAAAACTATATGATGTCTTGAACTCTTGAAACAAACATAGAACAATCTCAGCATGAGCCTTTTCAGATATATGACTCCTAAACAGCTAAAACCCATAAAAATGTTTCCTTGAGACTCAGTCATATGATGGTTTAAGAAATTAGACAAGTATCTGCATAACATGCATGTTGCTCTATTGAGTCCACGAATCTCCAGAAAAATAATACTATCATAGTATATTTCTAGTTCCATCAAAATCCAGTATTGGAGTTAATAGAGAACCCGTTAACCATGTGGTTGTGAATGTATTAAACCGGGTTCATATAGTATATAAGAGAGCATTGATTGACCACATGGTTAACCGGTTCTCTGTTAACTCTAGTGTCCAGTAACTCCCCATTCTCTTTACAAATCTTTAATGTTGTTTTTATCTCTTGTTTCAACTCTACTGCATTAAGAAAATTATATACAACCTTTTTCTGCCGTACTACTAGTTCTTGTGATCATCTTCTGCATATTTAGCTCTGATATAAGCATTTAAACGACATCGAGAAAAGTATTTGTGAGTTAAAGAAAGTTGAATGTATTCAGTTAAATTCACTGCATTAAAAAAGTATGGGTTATTTATGAGAGCGATGTTTAGGTGTGAGTTATTCGTCTACCGTCATCCTTTACCGTTGCACTATGTTACCAAACGACAAGACATAATGTCGGGTCGTTACCAAATCTCTGGCTTATCTATATATTTCATTTTAACGGCCCTGACTATTTTGCATGACCCACTGACATTGCATATAATGCCAAACCGATTTTTGTTCAATTTACACTTGCTTTTGTTCCCCAATTTCTATTGGTTTATAAATATCATTAGCTGTTGTTCAAAAAAAAATAAAAAAATATCATTAGCTTAAATTAAAGTAGTAAAGATAATTATAAGGAATGTTGATATGTGTATTTTACTTGCTAAACTGCAACGACCGAAAACAAAGTAGACCGACGGAAGAAACGTTTCATAAGGGAACAGATTAATTATTTTTTTCGTAACGAACATGTTAGAATTATACTTTAGGTGAAATGTCTATATCCCAAATCAACTACCATGTTGGCTGTACCTTTAATATTGTAAATGATCAGAAGCATAGTTTAGAAAACATATACACATATCTGCTGGATGATCATATGTTTAGTTGAAACTATTTAATTCCAATGGCTAATTCTCACTTATTTTATATCCATATATATGGGAACATCTTTATTTATTTACTTTGAAATGTTTTCTGGTAAGAGAGACGCCCCATGAAGTGATTGGGAAAAATTAAAATGTAATTTTCATATTTTAACAACGAGATTAATAAGAAAACTGGCACAAGCTAGCCAGTGATAAGGAAACTCGTTGGGTTTAGCTTTTGGCTACAAAAAGTCAATGATTTAGGCCGGTAATACTTAATCCATATCACAAAATTCAATACTATTTCAGTCATCTTAGTAATTTGTATGTCAAAATGGTCTTTTTGCCATAATGAAAAAAGTAATTGTGAAATTGTTTTGTATTAGAGAAACAATTAAAGTTCCCTAATCGTTTTTTAATAAACATATGTTGGTGGATGAATTTAGGTAATATATGTCAAATATTTTATTTGATCATTCATTTATTAGAAATTTTACTTAGAAGTGTGGTAGAGCTAACCATAAAATAGGACATGGTGAATAATGATCCACTAATTTCCATGATAATTCTAATATTAATGGTATATAGGTGGCTTATCAGAGCATACTGTATTTAAAATGATAAAAGGCTGTCTTACTGGTGGATATTTTTCTTCACATGTTTTGTCGGTTCTACTTCTAGTTATGTAAGCGTGTTTAAGATAAACGAAGTTTAATAATGTTATTAATTTTACGAGAAAACGATGCTGATTCAAGATATATGCTGATTTAGGTGTCTTATCATTTTCACCACTAAAGACGAATAAAAGCCTTCAGAACTTTGTAGCCGTAGAGTTATTACCAATTTTAATTTAGATTGTCACAACTCACTAAGTCACTATTGCCAATCCCATATCTAGATAAACTTTATTTCATCTTTGTTAAACTTCACTAAATGCTTGTTGCTAAAAATAAAACTCACTTGATATCGTTTGAGAAAAGTTAAATAAACAAATCAACTACACATCGTTGACATTATTGATAGGTTAATTAAGCTTAAAGAATCCAAACTTATCAGTTACCACAAGTTTTACCTTTAGAAAAGAAAGTAAATACAGAAATGAATAAAGTGATGACCAAGCTGGTTAAAGAAAAAGGCAAGTGGGGTCCATAAAGGGGGGGCCAATTAAGTGGCTTCACGCACAAAACACACACATAAACACCTTCACTGACAGCTTTTGAATCCTTCTGTCTCCACTCTCTCTCTCTCTCTCTCTCTCTCTCTCTCTCTCTCTCTCTCTCTCTCTCTCTCTCGGCAATAATGATAACGTGAAGAAGAGGCACCTCAGCAAACGATTCTAAACTCACCCGATTCCATTAGCCTTTTCGTCTTCTTCCTCCAATTTGCTACAGAGCAGCGCGCTTGAAGTAGTTGGACTCTATCGTGCGTATTTTTTTATTGTCTTGAAGACTTTTGGAGTTCTTCCTCTTCTTACAGATCTGGTGTTACTGTCTACCGCAGGTATGCTTCCTGTTTGATCATGCTTAGATCAGTCGTTGAGTTTAACATAAGAATTTAGCTCATAGATATGGAGATCTGGCAATAATCTTACTGATTTAAGCGTAGTGTCTTCTTGAGTATTTGCTCAGGAGTAATGTAGTAGAGGTCACTACCAGATTCAGTTTTATTTGAGATTAACTTTTGTTTTACTTAATCTCTGTGAAGGATCACAGAGAAGAGATGGGGAAGAAAGCAAAATGGTTTTCTAGCGTCAAGAAAGCATTCAGCCCAGATTCAAAGGTAATGAACATTTTGTGACTTCTTTATATAAATTATGCAAATTCATATAATACTATTGTGCCTCTTGACATCTTTGTTGTTTGATGTTTTTTCAGAAGTCGAAGCAAAAATCTCTCGAGAGCCCAAATGGTCTGATCTCTAACCCTCCTCCTCCTCTTGAGGTGAGAGTAGCTGAAGTGGTTGTTGAACGGAACATCAATCTTTCCCCTCCTTCGACAGATGCTGTCAATGCTACGGCCACTGATGTTCCTCTAGTCCCATCTTCATCTTATGCTCCTCCTGAGGTGGTTCGTCCTCGTGCTACACCTACTCGGTTTGCTGGAAAGTCCAACGAAGAAGCGGCTGCAATCTTGATTCAGACTATATTCAGAGGCTATTTGGTACATATTCTTATGGTTCCTGGATTTGCCAGTTTTTTTGCTGTTCTGTTTCTTGAGTTTCGTTGTGGTGTATAACTTTGTTTTGCGTGATTCAGGCAAGAAGAGCAATACGGGCAATGCGGGGTTTGGTCAGACTTAAGTCATTGATGGAAGGATCTGTTGTGAAACGTCAGGCTGGAAATACTTTAAAATGTATGCAGACTCTGTCTCGTGTACAGTCTCAAATCCGAGCAAGGAGAATCAGGATGTCAGAAGAGAATCAAGCTCGCCAGAAACAACTCCTTCAGAAGCATGCCAAAGAAATAGCTGGCTTGAAGGTCTCTTTCTTACATTCATCTCGTTCGTTTTTCTTACATATTAAAACTGATGGCTACTTTGGCTATCTATATTAAAATTGCTGTGTATTCTTTTCTACTTGAAAATGGAAATCTTTGAGTCTTGTTGACTTATGCTAATAGATTCTCTATTTTTGTTTGACTTTGCTGCTTTCAGAACGGGGATAATTGGGATGATAGCAGCCAATCAAAGGAGAAAGTTGAAGCGAATTTGCTAAGCAAGTACGAAGCAACAGTGAGAAGGGAAAAGGCATTGGCTTATGCTTACTCTCATCAGGTGATCAGTATAACCACCCAATGCTGAGTCTATGGATAAATACAACTAAACACACATACATTAGAGTTGGATCTGTCATCTGTGATTTGTTTGAATGCTGTGCTGAATCATATGTTCATGTTTGCAGCAAAACTGGAAGAAAAACTCTAAATCTGGAAACCCAATGTTCATGGATCCGAGCAATCCTACATGGGGTTGGAGCTGGTTAGAGAGATGGATGGCTGGTCGGCCATTAGAAGAACCAAACAATGACAATGCCGCTTCAGTCAAGAACTCATCTACTAACCGTAACGAAGTCACAAAATCTATAAACCGCAATAACTCAACTCAACCAAACACACCATCATCCGCAAGAGGTGGTGGAACTCCAAGAAACAAAAACAGTTTCTTCTCTTCTCCAACTCCCTCAAGATTAAACCAATCCTCCAGAAAAACTAGAGACGATGACGACGCCAAAAGCACAATCTCGGTTCTGTCCGAGAGGAACCGTAGACATAGCATTGCTGGTTCAATAGTCAGAGATGACGAGAGCCTCTCTGGAGCACAGGCTTTACCGAGCTATATGGTTCCAACTAAATCAGCTAGAGCTAGGCTGAAGCCGCAGAGTCCGTTAAGTGGTACAACACAGGAGAACGATGGGCTCGCAGACAAGGCATCTGCTAAGAAACGTCTCTCTTATTCGAGTTCACCTGCATTGCCTAAACCACGGAGGTTCTCAGCTCCGCCTAAGGTGGAGATTGGCGACGTTGCCGTGACCAATGGAGGAGTAAGCTGAGCTATTTATTGATTTGTCTTTTTTTAAGAAAAAGATATATGTAATTTTCCAATTTATGGATCTGTCCGAGATTGTTGTATTGTATGTTTTGTTATGTATTCCCTTCCGTAATTCATTTGTGCAGAGTGTAAGCGTTTGTTATTTATTTGTTTTACTATTAAAGAATTTCGTTATTCGACACAAAGGCTTATCTAATGATCTTTTAAATTCATGTTTGTGTTTATTTTGTTGAATAAGTAATAGATATGGGAAAAACCTTACTATTGCGCTTAAAAATCTCTGTTTCTGATAATATTTTGCTGTTTGTTCCTGTGGAACTCCTAGGGCTGGGCATTCGGGTTTCGGTTCATTCGGGTTTTCGGGTTCATGAATTTCAGTCCCATTCGGATATTATAAAAATTCGGGTCGGATTCGGTTCGGGTTTAGTCGGGTTCGGTTCGGGTTTAGTAACATGTCCAAGATCCGGTTGAACCCGAAATAGTTTCGGTTTCGGATACTAATCGGGTTATCGGTTCTAAAAATACTAATTTATACTCAATTAAACTCACTATATTTTCAATCCTTTTATTAAATTTGTGTATTTAGCTTCAACAAACCATATTGTTCTCCTTCAAAATAATATTGTGAAACTCATCTATCAATCATATAAGATTTGTCAATGAACTATATGTGACATGACTAAACATATCATGATTAATGACAAACCAAAGCCTTATATGAACGAAATATAATACATAATAAAACATAAAAAATTAAAGTTAACCACTAAAAATTCTATAAACATAACAAGTGCTATTTAAACTTTTAAAAACAACATTATATAAACTTCAAAACAAATTTATTTGTAACTTAACTTCAAATGTTATGTCAATCATAAACATTAATATTAACCAAATAACACTATATATTAGACTAAATATTTGAGTTAATTATTTATATCATAACTAACTATTGTAGGTACTCAATAATATATTAATCTGTTTTGGAAACATATTAGAAATTTAGATTGAATATGATACAAGTTTTTTTGGAATTTTAAAGTTTCGGGTTCGGTTCGGGTAATACCCATAACCCGAATTACCGTGAAACAAGATCCATTCGGTACTTATGTCGGGTTCCTTTTCATCGGGTCGGATTCGGTTCGGATTTTCAGATTCTTCTTTTTTTGCCCAGCCCTAGGAACTACATTGCAACAAATCTGAATTTTTCTGCATCGTTGCTTCTTTAAGGTATGAATTGAATGAAATATGATGTCGTAACGATGTCATGAAAATGAGAGTTAGACGAGTCTGTAGACGAAGCTTCTCTGAACAGGGAAGAAGGTGTTGACTTTGACTCACCTAACTGACCTCAAAATATAAAGTTAAGACAAGGAGAGAGAGGACTGAGGTGTTCAAAAAAAAAAAAAAAGGACAAGGAGAGAACTGGGTAAGAAAAAAAAAAGATAAGGGAAGACGAAAGCTACACAATGGCTCCGCTCGCGCCTCTGGAAGTGACTCCACTCGGCTCATCATCGACTCATCATCCGCCCCTAATCGGCTCGTTTCAGCTCGACTTGGCTCCTTAGCAGCTCGACTCGGCTCCTTAGCGGCTCAACACGGCTCTAAATCGGCTCGTCTCAGCTCCATATCGGCTTTACCGGCTCTTTATCGGCTCGACTTGGCTACTTATCGGCTCGTTATCGGCTTGACATGGCTCCTTATCGGCTTGACTTGGCTACTTATCGGCTGTTTATCAGCTCCTTATCGGCTTGACATGGCTACTTATCGGCTCGTTATCCGCTCCTTATCGGCTCGTTATCGGCTGACGTGGCTCCTTATCGGCTTGACAGGGCTCCTTATCGGCTTGACATAGCTCCTTATCGGCTCGTTATCAGCTCCTTATCGGCTCGCTATCAGCTCCTTATCGGCTTGACATGGCTCCTTATCGACTTGTTATCAGGCTGGTTATCGGCTTGACATGGCTCCTTATCGGCTTGACTTGGCTCCTTATCGGCTCCTTATCAGCTTCTTATCGGCTCGTTATCAGGTTGACATGGCTCCTTATCGACTCGTTATCGGCTTAACACGGTTCCTTATCGGCTTTTTATCGGCTTGACTTGGCTCCTTATCGGCTCGAGTCGTTCCCCATCGACTAGTTATCGGCTTGACTCGGCTTCTGTAAACTCGTCTCGGCTCTTCACGGGGTGCACACAGAAAAAACAAGGAAGAACCCTAATCCCATCCGCATCGATAGATAATTGATTGATTTTATTACACTCAAAGGATGGTAAGTTGGTGGGTCCGTTTAAATCTCAGTTTTCTTCTTCATTACAGACGCTCGTGTCGGAAAATCATGATTTTATAGTTGAAGCCTGAGTAGATGTCTCTGCTTATTTGCCCAAACACCTCCAAAATCTCGATTTTAAGATTGTTTCGGTGCTGTTAATTAAAAAATGGATACATGGAGGATATATCAATGCTCATCTTCTCTTTGATTCTAAAATCCATGTTCCTTTTGTTTTTGGTATCTGACGTTTTGCTTGTATTTGTGTGGTTATATAATAGGAAACGCCGATGGTTGCAGGTGCTGCAGTAGCTGCAGCTGCTATAGCTGGTAGATATGGTATACTCGCTTGGCAAGCCTTCAAGGCTAGGCCACCCGTTGCTAGAATGCGCAGGTTTTATGAAGGTGGTTTCCAAACTGCCATGACCCGGCGTGAAGCTGCTCTTATTCTTGGTGTTAGGTCTGTCTTTACTTCCTCCTGCTTCTTATTTTGCTCCTCAAATTGTTAACAAAATGGTCTTGTAAGGCTGACATTAACTATAGTATGACGATCTTTGAGGTTGTGCTGGGTTGTTCGATTAAACCGATAAAGGCAATTGCACATTGGATTTAGTAGGTTTTGAAATTCTGGCCCTGCAAGTAGTTCTTGTTAGTAGTTGATTCGATGTCCTTTAGATGATGAAGCCAACCTTGTAGTGTTATCTTTCTGAGAGAACATTATAAAAAAGGTTTTGTAATTGTTTTCGGGTGGCCTGACTGAGAGAGTGTGGTGTTTTTACAATAATAACAGGGAGAGGGTTGTGGCGGAGAAGGTGAAAGAAGCTCACAGGAGAGTGATGGTTGCAAACCACCCTGACGCTGGAGGTAGTCACTATCTCGCTTCCAAGATCAATGAAGCCAAAGATATTTTGCTTGGCAAATCCAGTAACTCCGGTTCTGCTTTTTGATTCATACGAACCCCAAGTGAACACTCCTTTTCATTTGATTATGTTTTTCAATGTTCACTACCATTTCTTGTTTGTCACTATTATGTTTCCAGAGAAGCATGTGATCAAAGATTTTGATATATATGAAGATTTTTTTTTATGAGTTTTTAACGCATCCATGAGGAACTAACATAACAAATTGAGATGCGAAGACAAGTCTTTATAGTTAATGTGTGACGCTGTAGCATAATGCAAGAAGAAATTGGACTGACTCCATTGACACAAAAAAACCATTGACAGGTTCTCATTCACCACTATTTAGAATGTAAAATGTGATCCAAAATAAAATTCTGTTTGGTGTAAGCCCCTATAGAATCCGAAAAAAAAAATATGTAGCTATCATTGTCTATAGACTGTAGTTATCCACCTCTTTACTTCTTTACTCTTTGGTGGTTGTAGTAGCAGCGTTAGTGTCCTTGTCTGCCTCTGTCTCCTGTAGAGTCTCCTTTGTTTCTCTAACTTTCTCGAGCTGGCCTTTGGGTTCTCCAAATAAAGCATACAAAATCTGTCTATGGCACTCATCACAGAAATAGAAGAACGAGAAGTGACCTTCATTTGGAATCTTATGTACTGTAGCTTCCGGAATCATCCTGCCAATGTAGTCACTCATCGATGGTGGAGCGACCCGATCGTCCATTCCCTTTAAGGACTCAAAATTAAACTTGTGTTAAGATACACAAGACAGTTTAACTAAAATGAGAGTTACAGATTTAACAATGTATTACCTGCCATATGTGAATAGGTTTTCGAAACCCAACTAGTTCACATTCAGCTTCACTGTACATTGACATAAGCCAAGAGAGGACACCATTAGTTGTACATTTCTTCTGTGTGCGGAACTCAGAAAGAGTAAAGCCCCAACTCGATACTTGAAGCACTGATTCGTCTACAAATGGTTTTGTGATCCCTTGACGGACAGATTCCTCCACGTTCCTTTGGTAAAATTCTTGAAAAGTTGGGTCTTTGAGAAGAAGTTTATCCTGAAAGAAAGAAGAAAAGAGTAAGCAAATATGACTCTCTCCTTTTTGACATAACCACCGATGAGATTTGTACCTTTTCTCCTAAAGATAGTGACATCCACTGATCGAGATGATCAAGTTTACCAGAGAGAAATGATCTACGGTAGAAGAAAGGGAGAAATGCTGGAAACCGTCGAGCTAAAAAGTACATGAATTTCCTCTTCGTTAACCATTGCTCCCATGTTTTCACCATCTCTTCCTTGGCCATGCTTGGCTCATAAGGATTGATCACCGGAGCCACCATTGCAGCTCCTATAGTTTCACAAAACCAAACCCATTGAGCAACAGTCATGTTTTTCTTGCAAACAATCACAGTGGCCAACGACATGAAACGTGTACAAGTATAGGGACATTGTTAGTACCGGCAATTTTCTCAGGGAAGTACTTCATAGCAGCCCATGAATGCATACTACCAGTAGAGTAGCCGAGTAACCAGAACTTCTCATCAATTCCGACAGCAGCAGCAAGATTAATCAAATCCGAGGCAGATGAGCTAAGGTTTCGACCACGATGAGGATCACTCTCTCCAAACCCTGGAAGATCATACGAAACTAAACGGACACCATACTCCACAAGCAGTGACTTCTTCACTCCAGGTATGCCTTAAATCAAGTAAAAATCCAAACCATTACAAGACAAAACTAAACGTAACAGAAAACTGATGAAAAACTAACTGAATATCCTTACCTGCAAGCCGAGAGGAAAGAAAAGAATGAGGAGTAAGTAAAGAGTATCTCGCTCTTTCCGCTGAAACACCAAGCTCTTGGTAAGCTAAATATCTACCATCAGGAAGCTGTACACGTGCTGCATTGGTGGGATGTACACGTAGTTTCTTTATCACTTCCACTTGTCTATCCTGCTCCGGACTAAAGCTTAACGCTACACTTTCAAAGTATGAATATATCACAATTCAACAAACCAAACCTTTACCACTATTTAGAGTCTAACTATACATCTGTAAAACGGCATGCAGTTAAAGAGGTTACTATTGTGAATGAGACTCTAATAACTACAAACACATTGTGATTGTGATTTATTACCAGCGAGAGCTAAGAGGAAGACGAAGAAGATCACAGGCCACGCGTGAGCAGGATCACGATCCTCAGGCAAGTACTCATTCATAAACCTAAGCTTCTTCGAGACTTTAACCGCCGGTTTCGCGAGCTTACGCACGACGTAAGAGTCCTCGGTGACCACCGTCTGCTCCACAATGTCCTTGCATCCTTTCGCGAGGTGGAGAAGCATCTCTCCCCACGATCTCATAAACCCCGCCACTTGATCTTTCAATGTCTCTCTCGGCGTCTCGGATCCGTCAAAGTAACCAGATCTCTTTGTGGTAGGCGCCGTTAAATCGATCGGCGCTCCGTCGTAGCGTAATCCGGCGTCGACGAGGCTCGCGAGCTCTTCCTGCCACGTAGGCACTCCTCTAATCTCATCCATCTTCGATTTTTTTTTTGCAACCTAAAAATCCGAAGCACAGTAAAAATCAGTTATAAATTTAATGGAAGATGTGGGAGAGAATTAATGAGCTGACAGCTTTAGAAAGCGTGAGTTTCAAGCTCTCTCTCTCTCTCTCACTCTAACGAATCATATCTTTTTTTTTGCTTTTTACTAAAGAAAGCGAAAGGAGACAAAAGTTTCTTATACCAAATACTATTACGGTCCGATTCGTATCTTCACCTAAACTTTATTCTTCCTTTACAGTATTCTCCATCGCTTACTTGATTTGACTGGTGGCTACAAAGTCACTGTTCTTCCGCCATTGACGAGATTCTCCAGCTCTCTCTCTGTCTTTGGAGTTTCCTCTTTTCGTATTTTGCTGGCAAATTAATAAAATAGGAAATGTGGACCACTGAATCAAAATTGCCTTTTTTTGAAATTAACGGTTGTTGTTTTTACACGTCGGTCTGCCGTGGTATCGACGGTTTTAGTGGTGGGGGACCGGCTTAGCCTGTGAGTGCCGTGCGGGACGGTTTATTACTTTTGTGTGACTCGTTTACCTGTTAGAGCCGGTTTTGTAAAGAGTGTGAGGCTGACGTGGCGGAAGTTGTAGGTACGGTGGGGTAGGAAGTGCATGTGACTTGTATTATTTGATAAGATAAAAGGAAGGAGTATTTTATAAGCCCAATACGTTATGGGCCTGTTTATAATGGGCCTGTTATTTTATAAATGGGCTAAGGTGTCGCGGATCCTTCATGTATATTAGGAGTGACTGATATAACTAGGTTTAGGGTTTTCAGTATCTTCTCTTGCTCGCCGCATCAACTCACTTTGCTGTTGATCTTCTCCTCCTTCGACAAACAAACATGGGGTAAGCTTCACCTCTCTTAGATCCTTCGCTCTTTTCTGTTTCTGTGAATTACGAGGGATTTTAATCGTGTCTTCTGTTATTCTCTTCTGGAAATGGCTTCACCATTCACATTTTTGTTGTTTCTGATTATTATTGACTTCTGTAATGATTCTTACACAATGCGTCTCTGTTAATTATACTTAATTCAGTGGTACAACGTAATCTGGAGATTTTGCATATAGTTAGTTATGACTCGTGATGAATCTTGTTGAGTTTATATCATCTTGGTTTTGAATCGCTGATTGAATGTTGGAACTGTTACATGAAAGTCCACCTTTGTCTTAATTGTTGTTGTGATGATGTTGAACAGTAAGACAAGGGGTATGGGAGCTGGGCGCAAGCTCAAAAGGCTTCGTATCAACCAGAGGTGGGCTGACAAGCAGTACAAGAAGTCCCATCAGGGTAACGAATGGAAGAAGCCTTTTGCTGGTTCTTCCCACGCCAAGGGTATCGTTCTTGAGAAAATGTAAGTCCTATCAATTTTACTTCTTTAGTTTTGATAATTGGAGCTGATGAGTCTCTTTTGTTTTATTATGCAGTGGTATTGAGGCTAAGCAGCCTAACTCTGCTATCCGTAAGTGTGCTAGAGTGCAGCTTATCAAGAACGGAAAGAAGATTGCCGCTTTTGTTCCCAACGATGGTTGCTTGAACTACATTGAGGAAAATGCAAGTCTAATCATCTTAAAGCCTTTGTAACCCTGATCATTTGACATTATTATTAATGTTGATTCTCTTTTTTTTGCAGGACGAGGTGTTGATTGCTGGGTTTGGTCGTAAGGGACATGCTGTGGGAGATATTCCCGGAGTCAGGTTCAAGGTCGTTAAGGTTTCTGGTGTCTCACTCTTGGCCCTCTTCAAGGAGAAGAAGGAGAAGCCAAGATCTTAGACGACGCTTTAAGCTTTAAGTTATTTTGATGCTATAATCACCTTTTGTTAGTTCAGTTTTTAAAACTCTTATGTTCTGTTCTATGCTACTGAAACATGAATTTGATGTGTTTAAACACTTTTTCAAATAATCTTTCCTTTTATTTTAATTTAGCAAATATTTAGATCATATATGAAATTTAAATAAATTATTCTAAAGTTAGAAATGATGAAAATATGTTTAGCTTCATACACATTAGCTTACATTAATATATATTAAGAGTGTGGTTAGTCATTTTTAAACAACATTAAAGTATTTAAAAATTATAACTAGCATTTACAAGAAAAAATTGAAAAAGTTGAAAATATTGTATTATTGTTTTAATGCATATTAGCATCATGTTCTCTGACATAGTAGGACGATTAAAGAGGTTTTAGACTTTATATGTTTTTATTTCTCTACAATATAGAGATTTTATAGAGGTTACTATTCTAATTAGATCGTACATGAAGTTAAAATAATTAATTTGTTGAAACGTTAAAAAAGAGGTTTTAGATCTTACGTGTTCCTATTTCTCTAGAAAATAAAGATTTTATAGGGGTTACTACACTAATTAGATAGTATATGAAGTTTAAATAAATTACTCGTTGGAAATTTAGAAATGATGTCCATGTACCATGAGAATATGTTTAGCATACATTAATATACATTTAGAGTGTGGTTAGGCATTTTAAACAACACTAAAAAGGCTAAAAATTATAGTTAGCATTTATCGGAAAGTTCAATTTTTTCGTAAGGATTAACCTACATACTTTTAAAAAAATTAAAAAATATTTTATTTTTGTTATAATGCATATTTGAATCATTCTTGGACATAGTAAGAAGATTAAAGTTGTTTTAGAAATTATGTGTTCCTATTTCTCTACGAAATAGAGATTTTAAAAGGGTTACTACACTAATTAGATCGTATATGAAGTTTAAATAAATTCTTTTTTGGAAAGTTAGAATTGATGACCATGTACCATGAAAATATTTTCATTATACATGAATATACATTGAGAGTGTGGTTAGGTATTCTTAAAACAAGACTAAAGTGTCTAAAAATTATAGTTAGCATTTATCGAAAATTCAATATTTTCGTAGGGGTTAACCTACATATTTCAAGAAAAATTAGATATTTGGTATTTTTTCTTTAATGCATATTTGCATCATCCTCTGACAGAGTATGAAGATTAAAGAGGTTTTAGACCTTATGTGTTCCTATTTCTCTAGAAAATAAAGATTTTATAGGGGTTACTACACTAATTAGATCTCGTATGAAGTTTAAATAAATTACTCGTTGGAAAGTTAGAACTGATGACTATATACCATGAAAATATGTTTATCATACATTAATATACATTGAGAGTGTGGTTAGGTATTTTTAAAACATCACTAAAAATTATAGTTAGCATTTATCGGAAAACTCAATTTTTCGTAGGGGTTAACCTACATATTTCAAGAAAAATTAAAAAAACATTGTATTTTTGTTTTAATGCATATTTGCATCATGCTTGGACATAGTAAGGAGATTAAAGAGGTTTTAGACATTATGTGTTTCTATTTCTCTAAAAAATAGAGATTTTATACGGGTTACTATACTAATTGAATCGTATATGAAGTTTAAATAAATTACTCGTTGGAAAGTTAGAAATGATGACCATGTAAAAAGAAAATATGTATATCATAAATTAATATACATTGAGAGTGATGTTAGATATATTTAAAACAACTCGAAAGTATCTAAAAATTATAGTTAGCATTTATCAAAGAATTCAACTTTTTCGTAGGGGTTAACCTACATATTTCAAGAAAAATTAAAAATTTTGTATTTTTATTTTATTGCATATTTGCATCATCCTCTGATATATTATGAAGGTTAAAGAGGTTTTAGACCTTATGTGCTCCTATTTATCTAGAAAATAAATATTTTATAGAGGTTATAACACTAATTAGATTGTATATGAAGTTTAAATAAATTATTCGTTGGAAAGTTAGAAATGATGACCATGTACCATGAAATATGTTTATCATACATTAATATACATTGAGAGTATGGTTAGGCATTTTTAAACAACACTAAAGTGTCTAAAAATTATAGTTAACATTTATCGAAATATTCAATTTTTTCGTAGGGGTTAACCTACACATTTCAAGAAAAAATTGGAAATTTTATATTTTTGCTTTAATGCAAATTTGCATCATCCTGTGACATAGTATGAAGATTAAAGAGGTTTTAGATTTTATGTGTTCCTATTTCTTTAGAAAATAAAGATTTTATAGGGGTACTACACTAATTAGATAGTATATGAAGTTTAAATAAATTACTCGTTGGAAATTTAGAAATGATGTCCATGTATCATGAAAATATGTTTAGCATACATTAATATACATTGAGAGTGTGATTAGGCATTTTAAACAACACTAAAGTGGCTAAAAATTATAGTTAGCATTTATCGGAAAGTTCAATTTTTTCGTAAGGATTAACCTACATATTTTTTTAAAAAATTAAAAAATATTTTTATTTTTGTTATAATGCATATTTGAATCATTCTTGGACATAGTAAGAAGATAAAGTTGTTTTAGACATTATGTGTTCCTATTTCTCTACAAAATAGAGATTTTAAAAGGGTTACTACACTAATTAGATCGTATATGAAGTTTAAATAAATTCTTTTTTGGAAAGTTAGAATTTATGACCATGTACCATGAAAATATTTTCATCATACATGAAGATACATTGAGAGTGTGGTTAGGTATTCTTAAAACAACACTAAAGTGTCTAAAAAATATAGTTAGCATTTATCGAAAAATTCAATATTTTCGTAGGGGTTAACCTACATATTTCAAGAAAAATTAGATATTTGGTATTTTTTCTATAATGCATATTTGCATCATCCTCTGACAGAGTATGAAGATTAAAGAGGTTTTAGACCTTATGTGTTCCTATATCTCTACAAAATAAAATTTTTATAGGGGTTACTACACTAATTAGATCTTGTATGAAGTTTAAATAAATTACTCGTTGGAAAGTTAGAACTGATGACTATATACCATGAAAATATGTTTATCATACATTAATATACATTGAGAGTGTGGTTAGGTATTTTTAAAACATCACTAAAAATTATAGTTAGCATTTATCGGAAAACTCAATTTCTTCGTAGGGGTTAACCTACATATTTCAAGAAAAATTAAAAAAACATTGTATTTTTGTTTTAATGCATATTTGCATCATGCTTGGACATAGTAAGGAGATTAAAGAGGTTTTAGACATTATGTGTTCCTATTTCTCTACAAAATAGAGATTTTATAATGGTTACTATACTAATTGAATCGTATATGAAGTTTAAATAAATTACTCGTTGGAAAGTTAGAAATGATGACCATGTAACATGAAAATATGTATATCATAAATTAATATACATTGAGAGTGATGTTAGATATTCTTAAAACAACACTAAAGTATCTAAAAATTATAGTTAGCATTTATCAAATAATTCAACTTTTTCGTAGGGGTTAACCTACATATTTAAAGAAAAATTAAAATTTTGTATTTTTATTTTATTGCATATTTGCATCATCCTCTGGCATAGTATGAAGATTAAAGAGGTTTTAGACCTTATGTGCTCCTATTTATCTAGAAAATAAAGATTTTATAGGGATTATAACACTAATTAGATTGTATATGAAGTTTAAATAAATTATTTGTTGGAAAGTTAGAAATGATGACCATGTACCATGAAAATATGTTTATCATACATTAATATACATTGAGAGTATTGTTAGACATTTTTAAACAACATTAAAGTGTCTAAAAATTATAGTTAACATTTATTGAAATATTCAATTTTTTCGTAGGGGATAACCTACACATTTCAAGAAAAATTGGAAATTTTATATTTTTGCTTTAATGCATATTTGCATCATCCTATGACATGGTATGAAGATTAAAGAGGTTTTAGATCTTATGTGTTCCTATTTCTCTAGAAAATAAAGATTTTATAGGGGTTACTACACTAATTAGATAGTATATGAAGTTTAGATAAATTACTCGTTGGAAATTTAGAAATGATGTCCATGTACCATGAAAATATGTTTAGCATACATTAATATACATTGAGAGTGTGGTTAGGCATTTTAAACAACACTAAAGTGGCTAAAAATTATAGTTAGCATTTATCGGAAAGTTCAATTTTTTCGTAAGGATTAACCTACATATTTTTAAAAAAATTAAAAAATATTTTTTTTGTTATAATGCATATTTGAATCATTCTTGGACATAGTAAGAAGATTAAAGTTGTTTTAGACATTATGTGTTCCTATTTCTCTATAAAATAGAGATTTTAAAAGGGTTACTACATTTATTAGATCGTATATGAAGTTTAAATAAATTCGTTTTTGGAAAGTTAGAATTGATGACCATGTACCATGAAAATATTTTCATCATACATGAATATACATTGAGAGTGTGGTTAGGTATTCTTAAAACAACACTAAAATGTCTAAAAATTATAGTTAGCATTTATCGAAAAATTCAATATTTTCGTAGGGGTTAACCTACATATTTCAAGAAAAATTAGATATTTGGTATTTTTTCTATAATGCATATTTGCATCATCCTCTGACAGAGTATGAAGATTAATGAGGTTTTAGACCTTATGTGTTCCTATTTCTCTAGAAAATAAAGATTTTATAGGGGTTACTACACTAATTAGATCTTTGTATGAAGTTTAAATAAATTACTCGTTGGAAAGTTAGAACTGATGACTATATACCATGAAAATATGTTTATCAAACATTAATATACATTGAGATTGTGGTTAGGTATTTTTAAAACATCACTAAAAATTATAGTTAGCATTTATCGGAAAACTCAATTTTCGTAGGGGTTAACCTACATATTTCAAGAAAAATTAAAAAAACATTGTATTTTTGTTTTAATGCATATTTGCATCATGCTTGGACATAGTAAGGAGATTAAAGAGGTTTTAGACATTATGTGTTCCTATTTCTCTAAAAAATAGAGATTTTATAAGGGTTACTATACTAATTGAATCGTATATGAAGTTTAAATAAATTACTCGTTGGAAAGTTAGAAATGATGACCATGTAACATGA